CCAATAATGCAGGGACCAACAAGTACCATATTTGAACGTCTTTTGGTATGACGCGGTCGGGGATCGAACCCGCGACCTTCCGCTCTCCGGGCGAGTAGTAGTAGTGGTAGTAGTAGTAGTAGTTGTGGTGGTAGTAGTAGTGGTGGTAGTAGTAGTAGTGGTGGTAGTAGTAGTAGTGGTAGTAGTAGCAGTAGTGGCAGTAGTAGTAGTAGTGGTGGTGGTAGTAGTAGTGGTGGTGGTAGTAGTAGTGGTGGTAGTAGTAATAGTAGTAGTAGTGGTGGTGGTAGTAGTAGTAGTGGTTGTAGTAGTAGTAGTAGTGAGTGTGAGTGAGTGAGTGAGTTTAGGTTTACGCCGCACTCTGCAATATTCCAGCTATATGGCGGCGGTGTGTAAATAATCGTGTCTAGACCAGACAATCCAGTGATCAAGGTAGTAGTAGTAGTAGTAGTTACTGAACATATTTACCTGATAAATGAATTTACTATCATGCATGAACTATCCTATACTTTGACTTCTACTATTACTGGCCTGTGTCTACACATGCGCAGTTTCTACCTGTGATTAAGCAACTGGAGCGTGCATGTGCTCGGCACTGCCATTGTGTTGTCTTCAGACAAGTGTTCATAATTTACTGATGTAGTCAAGTCATGTGGGAACCTGAAGTGACCTTGGCCTTATCTGGTGTATACCAGTTCCTCTATGAACGACTGGGGAAAGGTGATAAAAACTGAAATATCTTTGTTCTGACTGGTAACTGAAATATGTTTCGCCACCAGACTTCAAACGTCTAAAGATAAACCGATTTCGGTCAGGGCTGTTTTGTTTACTAACAGCGTTGTCATGCAGTCTGTTTGGGAACATTTTAAGGCAGGTGACTTTGTTCATCCGTGTGTTTAGCCTACGCCCCATCTATCACGTAGCTTTAACGTTTATGTTTGTTTACGAGGGACAACCTGCCAACGGCCTTCACAAATCAAGTGTCTAAGCTGTGTGGATGTGGTTGAGTTAAACTGACAATTAGTCCTCGAAATATTTTTAAATTTATAAATATATGTCTTTAAAACACAATGTAAACTCAAAATAGAACTCAGCAAAATGCTCGCCTAGAAATGAGACAATCTAGACTTGCCATATCGGTCTAGACTTAAAATGAATTGAAGTATAATTTATTCCCTTGGGCAGCCATACAGACAAATTCGTATTACAGTCTCATCCAATTTATCAAAACAATGTCAGATAATAAAAAATGCATGCCTGGGCTATTCCCAGTTAATGAGTCTTCTAATAAGCAAATGACCGCCTCCGTGGTGTAGTGGTTAGAGCGTCCGCCCGGAGAGCGGAAGGTCGCGGGTTCGATCCCCGGCTGTGTCATACCAAAAGACGTTAAAATATGGTACTTGTTGGTCCCTGCCTGGCGCTCGGCATTAATGGGTACAACAAGGACTGGTCGGCTCGGAGTCAGTATAATGTGTCTGAGTGGGGTATTCATGCTTCACTGCGGCATGGTATCTCAGTGGACTAGCACTATAATATAAAACCAGCTTCAGACTGGGCTAGTACAAGCAGCCGCACATACACATACACAAGCATGCACGTCGTCATTTGAGCGAAATATTCTCAAGTACGACGTTAAACTCAATTTCACCTCACCTCACCTCACCTCTAATAAGCAAACAGGTATACATGGTTGATTGACTGTTGTTTAACGCCGCACTCAGCAATATTCCAGCAATGTCGCGGCAGTTTGTAAATAATCGAGTCTGGAGCAGACAATCCAATGGTCCACACGGTAAAACTCGATAATCCGGACCCCGTTTATGCAGATTCGGCCAAGAGGACCTATCTGTGATGATTAATATAGCTCTCTTGCCCGTGAGAGGATCCCTATATGTTGCCAAAGACCACGCTTCTATGGTCAACCTGAACAGAAGCGGCATTTCAGGAAGACCCAGTCCACCCATGGGTTAAGTGACCAGGTTATCTAGTTTCTGAGGACCGTTACTGGAATTCCCGGGAGTTAATGACAAGTCAACCCGGAAGTTTACCCTATGGAAATCACCAAATTGACTTTCAGACCCCGTGCCTTCTGTTTCTTTACCCCTCAGCTTTAGAACTCACTACCTAAAGAAATTGGAAATACTTCTTCCAAGAATTATTTTAAGACTCTCCTTAAATACAACTTCTTGTGACTGTATGTCGGTAGAATTGTCTGAGCCACCCGCCCTTGCACTGTATAATATTTTAAGCGCCACTGAGAAACTTGAGGTGGATAGTAGGCGCTCTACAAATGTATTATTACATTACATATTAACAAGTTTCTTAATTGGTGTTATTTCCGGAATAGCTTGCTCTTCATATCAACAGTCACAACACTGTGTGTTTGTTGTGTTGTTTATAACGCCACACTCTGCCGATATTCCAGCTATATGGCAATGGTCTGTAAATAATCCAGTCTGGGCCAGACAATCCAGTGATCAACATCATGAACATCGATCTACGCAATTTGGATACTGGCATCAAACATTGTACCCATATGGGGAATCGAACCCGGGTGTTCGGCTTGACAAGCGAACGCTTTAACCACTAGGCTACCGTACCTCCCCCACGAGCGCGGGTGTGGTGCTGGTTTCTCACGTGCAAGGGGCGAACGTGGACCTAAGGCGCCTGAGACAACTCGGTCATTTCTAACTCCAGCTGTCACATAATGGAATCTCGCCAATAGAAGCGTTACATCGTCACTCAATACCACAATACCGGATGTACTTCTAGATGAATATGCATCCATCCACTACGAACTTCCTCAAATTGACCAAACCGAACAGATCAAAGTTTGTTTCTGCTTGTTGTCCATTGACTCTAGTTTGATTTTTGTGCACAAGAAATCCATCGCGTCAAATGATTTTGTTCGCTATTGTAACATAACATCCTATCTTGTTTGTTTGATGGTGGGTTCTTTTTCAAATTGACAGCGATTAGCCAAATGCTCTCATTTTAATCGCATTTATTAGATGGCTCTTATCAGCCACCATACATTTATATGTTGAATTACAATTTATTATGTTGAGTCACAATAACATTACACGATTTTTCCATCTACTAAATCCGACAGAAAATATCTTCATTTGTTTTTCTCAATTCTTTGTGAGACAAAATGGTTTTAGAGTATTTTTGAAAATACATCTCAAGTTTATTTTACATCATGTAAGCAGTTGTCTCTTCATATATTTTATTTAATTTACGTTAAATAAATACTTGTCATTTACGCCAAGTAGATCACATAGGCAAAATATTTGAGTTTGATGCCCATAACTAGCCCCTGCTTCAATCTTTTAGTGTTTGAATGAAATTTAGAACTGACACACACAACAGAGAATTGACTAACTTGCCTCCTTTGTGGATTAACGTCCTTTGGGCGGTGGGGTTGCCCAGTGGTTAAAGCGTTCGCTCGTCACGCCGAAGACCCATTTCTGGTGTCCCCCGCCGTAATATTGCTGGAATATAGCTAAAGGCGGCGTAAAACCCAACTCACTCACTAACGTCATAACTGCAGTTTCGGTTTGTAACAAATATAAACGTAAACACACAAAATAGAATAGAATAGAATAGAATAATACTTTAATGCCTTTTCAGAAATTTGTGTTACATCAGCAGAGCTACTACTGACACATCAGAGAGATACCAAACATATTTACATAAATTCTTTGATTTAGGTATCTTCACATTTGTTTAAGAGAGATATGGTACTTGGAATAAAGGATGTACGGGCTCTCTTAGTTTTCACACTTGGAAGTTTGTAGCGGCGGCCTGAAGGGAGGAGGTTGTATTCCGAATTTAAGTAGTGAGTACGGTCAGATATGATTTTGACAGCTTGAATCACGATTTGCATCTCATATATTGATGATAAACATTCACATCTGACTCCAGGGATTTTACTTGCAGTGTTAACAATTTTGTCTATTTTAGATTTGAGATGAACTGAGGGAGACCCGTACCAACAATGGAAGGAAAATGTTAAAATACTCTGAATAAATGCTGCATAAAATACCACCTAATGCGGTGACGCTAGGCCCTAGAATACAGTTGGTACAAGAATCAGCTGATCACAGATAAAGCACGGTCCGGCCATTACGTGTTGGCTTGTTGGCAGTAATATTTATATAAACACGTCATTATAGAATACATGATCACAACACATTCCTCCCACGTTGTGTTATTTATTTATCTGTCGTCATCGTGTGTTTGATTAAAACTAATTACATAGACAGACTAACTGATTATATATAGCATCAACCGCATGCTTTGATCGATCGATCTATACTTCACTGGGTATGAGAATCATATATTTATATTTCCGAACAGATAAACTCGTATGAATATAGACATATTTAATATTTAAAAACGCTTTTCAGTGTAAACTCTTATTACGAACACGTGTATATAACGAATTGAAAGATATAAACGAACTGTATTTTTCTTTAGCTGCATATTATAGTGGAACATGTTACGGTTATAACGAACAAAAACTACGTACTCCCTTTGAGTTCGTTTTATCCGTACATTACTGCACAGATCTAGATCTATTTCCTTAAAAAGTGTGAAAACTTAATATTCGGCTCGGACAGCTGACAACAAGGTATTCGTCATACCATACCTCTTGATCAGTAAGTCTTTGAGTGAATTTAGGATCCCCATGTGTAACAGAATATTACTCCACTTGACAGCAAACTTTTCCGTTGTTACGCAAGCTCTTAATATTAGATCTTACTCGGCTACGTTCGATTGCTCATTCATACCGAGCACAACTCATGGAGCAACAGTAGTGGCCTTCACCTTTCTTGTTTCACGTGAACAGTGCATGAATGGGGGATTCCGAACTATATGAGCCAATCAAACGGCAAACTGTATGTGAACTCATTTTCTATTAGCCAAATGCCTTGGCACAAACCACCAATCAAATTGCCGTTAAATGTGCAACTGGGCTGTGATTGGTCGTTCGAATTTCACGTCTACAATGTGCACGTGAACATAATGTGGGAAATGTTTATCAGCGAGCATTTAGTCGTAATCGGTGGACGAATGTAGACTGCATGGAACCTAGTCGCAAGAATGTTGTTCATTTACTCGCTGGAGGGTAAGTAATTATGCATACAAATAACAATGATCAGTCATAAAGGTGTCTTTTGTGACTTAATAAACTGATATTGAACTTGTACGCTCTAAAATCTGAACAAACAGATCCGATTGCAGACGGACTTCCTAGGATCATGCATCTATAATGTTTGAAGCATGCATAGTTAATTACGCTTGTATTTGCACACGTATATTGCTGTGTTTGTGATAATGTCCCAAAAGACAATGACAAACATGGAGAATTATATGTATAACCACGTGATCAATGTTAGTTTGTGTTCCGCCATGCAAAGATGGCGCGCGCTAATGAATCAAAACAATGCAAAATCCAGTTGTCACCGCCGGAAGTTGAAATCTGTCAAAATATTTCTCAACACGTTTTATGACAGCACTGTACAAGTAAAGTAGAAATTAATGTTTACATGATAACATCAGCTGATAGAATTAAAAAATGATAAATCCCCCCAAAACTGTTGACGATTGTTTGAAAACCACAAATAGACATGAATCATAGGAACATGATAAAAAAGTATCACCAATTTGTCTATCTTTGCTTGTTTCTGGCTGCAATAACGTGACCTTAGTATTTCAATATGACATTAACAAATAGAGCAATCGTTTATTGAGCAGACTTGAATTGTTACTCAAACAATTTGCATGGTGACAATTACAATAATCTTGCATCAGAAAAAATGTAGTTCTTGTGAATTAGAGACTTACAAGGATTGTGCTGATGAGAATGTTTAGGACTCTGTGTACACTGTTGATTAACTGAATTCATTGTTTTTTTCAGTGCTGGTGGTACGGTTGGAGCCATTGTAACATGTCCGTTGGAAGTAGTGAAGACTCGGCTTCAATCATCCGTTGCCACATTTCACCCAGTGTATAACCTACAGACTCTTAATGTTGTGCCACAAGTGCAACCCTGTGCCAGTTATGCAACGTGGAGCAATTCTTTCGTATCCCCGAATGAGTTAGTCCATCACTCATCAAAACCATCATCAGCAGGAGTACTTGTGTGCCTAAGGTGAGTTGTGCATTATGCACCGTGCACTTCTAATTCTAATTGCATGAATGAAGAGTTTTGGTTGTAATGCAAACCATAACTGTACTACAAGGAGTAATGTTTGTATATTCTACATAATAACGATTTAAAAGAGACATGGTTGACTGGTCCGTGTCCTTGATAAATATTTCATATTCACCATAGTGTTTTAGGACAACTTCTATCCGTGCCAGAACACAAATAATGAATAAAATTCATGAGAATGTATAATACACAGTTCATTAACATACAAAAGGAAAAGTACATGCAAAGTACATTCTATGTGTGACAGGAAGATCCGGGGTTAGAACTAGTATTCAGCAACCCATGCTTGTCATAAGAGGCAACTAAAATCATGTTGTCACGCCGCTTACTTGGTTGATGTATGTCGTCATATCCCAATTGGGGCGGTGGGGTAGCCTAGTGGTTAAAGCGTTGGCTTGTCACGCCAAAAACCCGGGTTCGAATCCCCACATGGGTACAATGTGTGAAGCCCATTTCTGGTGTCCCCTGCCGTGATGTTGCTGGAATATTGCTAAAAGCGGCGTAAAACCAAACTCAGTCAGTCAGTCATATCCCAATTGTGTAGATCGATGCTAAAGATGTGAATCACTTGCTTGTCTGGACCAGACCCTATTATTTACAGAACGCTGCCATATATAGCTGAAATATTCCAGAGTGCGGCATTAAGCAACAAATATATAAAAAAAAAACATCAAAACCTAACTGTATGGCAGTAGTCACAAATGAAGCAAATTTTCATATTCCAAAGGTTCTGAAAGTTCCATCTCACTAGTGCCTCTCATTCTATTATACAGCATTATAGTTATTCCGTAGTTCTTTTCTTCTGAGAGAGGTTAAACATGGTTTTTCCACAGTGGGCTGTGATGGAAGAGAGCTCAACATTCAACAAATAACCACAAGTTTATTTTCAACATGTCGAAAAGCAATGATGTGTATAGATATGTTTTTAGAAACATAAATTTACGTTGAAGTTAGGGTGTCATGAATGCTTTTACAGGAACTATAGACGTAGATATCACAAGTTTAATTAAACTGATCCACAGGTTCAGACAATAATGTCAAAATAATTCTTCTTTTTTGAGGAAACAAGTAGCTTACATAAATACTTTCTTCCATCAGATTGTCCTTCATTTCAGGTGTAAGAACTAGGGACAAAGTGTAACTCTTGTTTGAACAGACACAGGTAGATTGTGTGTCAACACTCAACAACACACTGGGTTTTTTATGTTCAAAGTCACACTTTACAACCTCTAGTTGTTGACAAGAGACAACTGTTTTGATATAATACCTGTTCTTGGATTAATTAAAAGAATATCCCTCCAGCGTATTGGCTGTTAATCCTTAGCAGGTTGGTTGTTTTTGCCATCTAATCTTTGAAGATCTGAGTTTATGATTATAATAAGACATCTTTAGATGAGGCAGGTAGACGTGTTGCATGATGCAGCAGGTTGATGGTGCACATCAGTGGGTATTGTAATTATGGTTTTAATGAAGAGAACCATCATCTGTTCTAAAGCTTCACTTGTGCGTGGTGTGATTGACTTAAGGACTGATAAGAGACAAGCCAAGCCATCAAAATGCTTTTGATCTTATGTAATACAAATGAATTTATGATGGGTGAATGGGTTAGTTGATGAGATGGGCAGGTCATAAGTCCCTCATCTGAAGTATTCTGGTCTTCATCAGCATCACTTGTTGATGAATTATCGACATTTCAATTACCCAATTAGTCTTATAGGTTCATCCTTCGTGTGGGCTGTATATAGAAACTGGTGCAGCCATATTGATTTTGGTACAGCCAGTTTTACAGGTGGCATGGTTTCTTATTGATCTGTTTTTGTGACTCATTATCCTCGAGTGATGTGTCAGGTTAACCAGTAATAGTTATCTTACATTCCTGGGCCTAACTCCACAAAGCGATCTTATTCTGAGCACTACGATGATCGTAAGCCTGTGTTAACGTAATGGAGTTACAGTTACCTTAGCGCGCTAAGATCGCTTCGTGGAACAGGTCCCAGGGTTTCATCTGGTGCTATCTCTTTTGGCATCAGTGTAGATGTTGCGAATATCTTCAACCTCTTGAAAAGCACATTATGACATGTAACATTAGCAGGCATATATTATACAAGGTCACAGGTTGCACCAAGTGCCGTGTTTTGGTTCTTGGCAAAGACACGAAATGTGATGTTTAATGACTACGTAAGTGTGAGATGATGCTGTTCCTATCAAGATTTGGCCGAGGACCAGTAGGGTTCTGTTTATTTACTGACTCAGTTCATATTAATGAGCATATGTTTTTTGTAAGATGGATGATTGTGCAGAGATTTGTCTAGACCTGATCAGAGGCTGATATTTATCCCAAGTGTGCAAGTTTGCAGTGGATGTCAATAAAATTCTCAAATTGAAATTATTAATTCCACCCAATACTTAATTTCATGACTTTGCATTTGATCTGTATTTCACCAGCAGCAGGACCAGTAAAAGGAAGAGGGCGTAATGTTAACATGATTTTGAAAACCCTAGGTCACACATGATTACAAAAGCATGAAAATACAGTAAGTTGCACAACCCTGTTTACGTTGAAAAGTAATACATTCCTAACAACCAATTGTTTTGTTAAAGCACAATGTTATGAACTTTTACTGAACTGTAACAGAAAAATGTAATACATTTATTGCATTGTTTAAAAATAAATTCTATTGGCATTTAACAATATTTTGACCTTGTGCACACCGCAAATGTGACTATTTAAGACCGAGTAAGAACTGGCCTGCAGACACCCAAGCTTGTGTTAGGAGGCAACTCATGAGGTGGGTGGTCAAACTCACAGTTGATGCAAGGAACTGTGTCAAAAATATAAGCTCTTGCGGTCAGTCACTGGATTGTTTGGTCCGGACTATTCACTAATTACTGCTGCCTTCAACAACAAACACCCTTAATGTATTTTAATACAAATAATCTGTAAACAGTGCATGCATGCATAATCAAGGTGATTTTGAAGTAGCATGTGTCCAACCTTTGTTGTGTTGCTCCGTAAGCTTATTTCTTCTTTTGTCTCTACCAATGTCTGTGCCCTTTCATCAGAGTCTAAATACAGATTACCTACGCACAGTGGGTTAGTCACCCTACCTCCGCCCCCGACTACGTCAGACACTTGGACCCTCATGTAATACTGGGCACGATTCCCTGACCTGCTAACCCAGTGGAAAGTTCTGAACATCTGAAATCACTGATAACCTGAGTGATTGCGTTCTTCAGGGGCCAGACACAAGACTGTCTTGACACAGTCATGTAGAGTATTCCAGTACCTGTTGCATTGGTACCACATGTGCAGTTCTGTGAGTCTTGGGTCATACTGCTTGTGTTACAACTTACATAATTGATGAAAATAGACTGAGCAGACGCCAACTCTCCATCATGCTTACATCAGGACATGTCTCACAGGCAGAGTAGTTTCCAGTTCAAGGTGAAGGCCGGAACCCATGTTCAGACGCTGTTCAGATCGCTAGTGTTCAAACAATGCATGTTTATGTTCTTTTTCAATTTACATAGTTCATAACGTAAATCAATATTGCTGTCTGTGTTAAGAAGTCTGTTCCCTAACGCAATGAATTTATCTTTGGTTGCTATCACTACCAGCTGTCTTAGTACAATCTATGTTTCTAATGTATGAGTGTTTTAAGTTCTAACTTTTTGGTTTGTTTATGATGTCTACAACAAAAATCTGAACTTAGAAAATAAATAACATTACTTCTGACAACAAGTTTTCGCTGACTGGATGATAGAAAAAATGCAAGATTTTGTCACAGATTTTCACAAGAAATGGTGAATAATGATTTGAAAATGTTTACTTTCGCAAAAATAAAACCAAACAGTTACCTTTTGGTCAAGTTTTGCAGTGATACATCTGATTCTTCGTTCACATGGACTCGAGAAGCCCTCGTTTCCAGACCCTGCGTCTGCCTATGTATGACACGACCTCTGATTGACAGGCATGTTTTCATGCCCATGCAGCAATGTTCATGGTGTCTTTTCATCAACCTATTTACCAGTCACATGAGTTTAATACGGGCAGTTGATTATTCGAACAGTCAGGTCATGAGATCAGAAATTATTTCCAAACAATTTCCATTTCATTCCAAGCACAATCATGATGATATGTATAAAGATGTGTTGCACTGGATTGAATGATGGTTTCCTAGCCGTGAAACAACACATAACCGATATATACACCAGCCTTGATAAAAACACGTTTTCATCACATAAACACATATTTTAGGAGCATTAATGGTTCGCAAACCTGTGGAGATATTCAGATAGAGATGCATGAGATGAAACCGGGTTAACTTGATCCGGAAGATTCACCAGCCCTACTGTTATCCATCTTGTCTGGGATGACAATAGTATATTTCTGACACAGCAGGGGTTACTCATAATACTGGTTTGTAAGGTTTGGTGATATTTTATACAATTAGGTTAAGTGTTGTATACAGAATGTATACGTGACAGCAAGGATATAGATACTGGCAGATTACGTTGTCCTGCATGAACCGTGTTCTACAGGTTATTTAGCAAGTCAAGGCTACAGAATATTAAGATTGCTCACACGTGTCTGGCGGTAGTCACTTTACGATCTCACAAGTTATAAAAAAATGACAGGATCGGGTACATTGGCAGGCTGCCAAGTGAGACACTTGACTGAAACCAAAGTGTTATGAAATTTGTTTGGTCCTACAAAATTTGTGATCATATTCTGACCAGATCACAGTTTCTGAGTGGTAAATCTTGGTAATGTTTGAAGGAACACCACTCCCTACAGATAATTTCAAGTCGTGATTGTCGACAGGTCAGATTGTTAATCGTATCCCAGTGTCAGGACCTTGGTGAAGATAACGCAGTAACTTACTTAACGATTGTAGGTGTGGAGATATGTGAAAGATTTCATTGCCGTCAAAGGCAGAGAGTTGATACAACGTAGTTGACCTGTATTTGAAGGCATGTCAAGCCTATAGGAAATGGAAGTGGTTGTCAGCAAGGGTTGGAGAGTGTGAATAAATGCTTTTCTTTGAGGTTGACTGTCATTCAATGCTGTCAGAGATCTGTGGAAAATAGAGTTCACTATGTTTCACAATTGTAGTTCACTTTTAACTATTTCTGAAGGGACAAGAAAGAACAGTGATGATTCAGTCGTGCTATAAAATTATGTGGATTTTGATGTCCTTTGTGTAAAAGTCTCATCTGTTATTCATTGTATTATTCATGAGAAATCTTTGTTCATTCAGACATATTTTTTTGGTCTTTTCTGTCACAGTGTAAGCCTGTTTGAGCTTGAAAATTATTTGTGTAGTGCATCATCAAGATTTAATGACAGTTACCGTTATTAATGATTGAAAATACATGCTGATTCGCAAGTTCTCAAAGTAATTTTTTTACTGTAAAAAGACTCATGTCCTTTTATATCACTTATCACATAATATATTTAATTACATGTAATAATAATATGATACGTCAATGCTATGTTGAGACCTTTGGGTTTTTTAATGTTATGCATGGATGTATTTCATGCATAAACCAGGATTCCTCCCTAACCATAGCTGACAGCAGGTTGTGCCTTATGCATTTAAATCAGATAACAATATTTATTAGGTTGTACGTCACGAGACACCCTGGTTAGAAAGGAGAGATCCCAGTGCGTGATCATACATACCATGCTCTGAATAAATAATTATGTTAAAATATATTCTGTAAGTTTTTACTCAGACAGCTCAGTAAAAAGTGAAATTCTGTGCGAACTACTTGTTTTTCATCCCAAAATTTGGGTATTTTTCTTGAGCTGATGGAGATTGACTTGGTAGTCATTTAGCCACTGGTACAGACTGTTAAGTAGTGTCGCTGGGTTCAAGTGTTAATTTGATGCAGAAATCAGAAGGATGTATTTTATATTAGATCAACCAACCTAGTGGATTTTTCCCAACCTAATCCCATGTTTTTAGCTGGAATATTGCAAAGAGATATGTAAAATCACTCACTCACTCACTCACTTATCTACAATACTGCAGAGTAGCAATGCTCTGGTATCAAGAATTTTTTTTTTTAATGGTCCACTTTCAGCATAATACACTTTACAGAAAGCAAACATCCTACATGTGTTAATACAGAAAGAACTAGATAATCCTGAAGACACTTTCAGTATGTCAAGTACCTTCTGAACATTTTGATGGTATTTTTCATAACTGATTTAGATGTCATGATATCATGTTTATTTGAAGGAATGTTCATGTTTGAATTTTATTCTTCAGGTTCATAGTGAAGACCGAAGGAGTCCGAGGTTTATTCAAAGGTCTTGGCCCGAATCTAGTCGGCGTTGCTCCATCAAGGTGAGTACCAGCTGTGGTGAATCTGTTGTCAACAGCAGGCTCCAGAACAAATACATTACCTTGATCTGAAGTTGTTCACTAAACAAGTGTTCCAGCACTATTGGGCAAGAATTTGAGTTGCTTTATCTCGTAACAAATTAACATATCCAGCAAAGCTGCATTCTCTTCCCACAGAGGTTACTCCTGTCATATCCTCCTACGTAACCTCTGTTCTAATACGGCCCTTTCTTGGTGTGAGCGTTCAAGGCTCGTGACTGGAGACAAGCCGATTTAGTTGTGCAATCAGCGACGTTGTTTCAAAAGTGATCATTCGCAAGGCCTCGGTAATTTCCGTATGCTTCGGGAAAACTAGAACCTCTTCCCGAGCGCGATGCGCAAACGTTTCTTCTAGACAGAACTCAGTCATGTAATGGCGGATCAATGGCGTCTCCATCGCCCTCGTTGACAACGAACAAGCTAGCCATTAAACGTCTTGTGTGTAACATCAACACAAGTCCCAGGCAGATGGGGGATATTTGTGGCCCCACATTTGCTTCTGTTAGTCAAGTTGAATCTAAGTCGATGTAACAGGTGTTCTGATTGGATAGAAAGAAGGGAGATAATTCGTGTTGCGATCTTTTGCCGCTAGGGGATTTTACGAGAACCGGGAAATATGGCCGTATTAGAACAGAGGTTACGTAGGGAGATATGACAGGAGTAACCTCTGTGGGAAGAGAATGGCAAAGCTGATGGTGACTTTATTTTTATGGAATTAGGCAAAAGGCTTTCATCAGTTTCATTTGATGGTTGAAAAGCCATTCTCAGGGTTAGAAATTAATAATTTGTGGTCTGTAAAAACGAGCTATGAAATGGCAATCTGCCTGATGATAAACATGCTAGTCCCAAAGGTAATGTCCCAAGTCCCATACAGTATCACTTGTAGCAGTATTTGTCATGATAACCACACAAGAGAAGGTTTTGACGATGATGGTTTTTCAAAAGATTCTGTGACCAGAAATACAAATAGTTTCATAAACATTTGAACAAAGGTTGTTTTTCTGCCCTACCCAATCATTTACATTGTTGTATGGTCTTAATAAGTGCTCCCTTTGTTAATATTCAAAGCATACATAGTACCTATGATAGCGAATACAATACATCTATTTCAAATCCTTGTTTGACCTTTCTGCGTTGTGTTCTATGTCATCAGTGTACTGCATGGGCTTCAAGGTGAGCCTGTATATTGAGTATTGTCACAATGTGTGAGGTGCACTGCACACAGATAGTCTGTAGACGTGCTGATCAAGTTACACAGGTGGATGCTTGTGACAACGTGTCAATATGTCTTCTGTAATACTGGCATGTATGTGTACAAGGATGATTTGGGCCACGTGCAAAGGCTCAGGTTGCCTACTTCCCTCCACATGTCTGCTGTTGCCTGCTTCATCCCATGTTGAACTTTCGTATTGAATGGATATGTTTGTGTCCCTCTAGACATAGCAACGGCTTTGTGAGGGTTAGATTTTTTGTACTGTCAGTTTGTGTATATTTTATGTGATTATTTAAAAAGGGTAGTTTTTGCACTTTTTGAGCAGCTGGATGAGAAATTAATTTTACAGCAAACATGGCAAGAATGGTAGTCAACAAGGAAGTGTCATTAGTCCTCTATGTTTTTATATAATTTTCCAGACTTCTGTTAATGTTTTGGTTATGTTGGTGATGAAATGAGTTCCCATGTGAACAACATTCTGTGCATGTGCCAATTATAATGAGGTTAAGGTCATTTGACGGAACAGTTTTATCAGCTCGATAGTTAGGTGTCCGTTTCCAGTAGACCACGTGGATTCCGATGCACTTGACCCAGATATGACCGTGACAAGTTAGTTGACATACATTTACAGTTGGCGCCAAGGTTATCACAACAAATGAGGGCTGTGTTTGCCTATAACAGCAGGCTATAATTTAGTATGCAATATGGTGGCCATGTTATGTTTGGTAATTGTTTTGTCAATGAAGACTCATTTTCAAACTGATCTTCAGCATTTTCTTTCCTCATTTGAATGTATGAAGTCGGTCTTTAGGCAGATGTTTGTCTCTTGTCGTTGAGAAGTTCTTATCTATTTTGGTGGCAGGTGGCTCAGTCGTCTAAGGTGCTGCAAGTGTCTGTGCAGAGTTCTGTCCCTTGTGTATACAGAATCCTGTGATCATGGGTTTAAAATTCCAGTTGGCCCCAGTTATGTCTGTAGGTTTGACTGTGCTAATGGATATGGTAAATATCTTACACCTCCCACGATAGACCGTTATATTACTGTAATACTGTTTAAACAAATTAAGGCAGCAGTAAACTTGAATATGATATTAATGTTACCTAAATGTTCAGTATGAAAGAAAAGGTTCATATTTTCACCTGGGCCTTCAGCTGCTAGAGAGGCGGTGTGGCAGTCTAGTGGTTAAAGCATCTGCATGTCACGCTGAAGACCCGGGTTCAATTCCCCACATGGGTACAATGTGTGAAGCCCTTTTTTTGTTGTTTCCCGCTGTGATATTGCTAAAAGCAGCGTAAAACCAAACTCACTCACTCAGATGCTAGACAGGTTAATCAGCCTATTATCACACTAAACATGTTTGAAGGAGTTTTCCTATATTCTTGGGAATCTAAAGGGTTAGATATCTGTAACGATTTCAGCACAGTCAATGTTTCAAACAGAAGTCCACCCATATGACTGTAGATCATTGCCTGTAATTTAAACTATATATTGACCAAGTTGAATTCACTGTCACATATACAACAAGAATTGCTTGTTAACTGTAAGATATCACACTTGGTGTACAGCAGTAGAAAATCATTAAATGTCATTTGAAGCTTGGAAAGTTTTCAGAATTTGTGTATTTGTAAATTTCTGTGTATTTCTGGGTAATGGATATGTTTGGGGGTGTTGAAATCTGGAACAGTGTTTCAAGTGAGGTGGATTGCTGAGGGAAGAGTTGATGGTTATGACCTAAGCCTGGACCAGATGTTTGTGTGAACATACACATGTCTGTATGTGAATTGTTGCCAAATAACAACCATCACATATCTCTACATTGTCTTTATTCCAAGCCATTTCATATTCATAATTCTTTTTGACAATTCATTGGTTTGGATTTTGTTACTCGTAATCATATTGTCTCCATAGACACATGAAAATAATATTGCGAATTTTATTTCCAGGGCTATTTATTTCTGCACATACGCCAAGGCCAAACACACGCTGAACCAGCAGTTCAACCCCAATACACCAATTGTCCACATCCTATCAGCGCTTTCAGCAGGTTTGTGACTCAGTCTCAAGTATTGTATGTTAAGTGGTGGTGTGATAATACACAGCTGTTGTCAGGATGTTAGCCAGACCTGTGCTGGAAAGGCGAGATAGACCGTAAATGTGGAAAGTTTGGAGAGCGGAAAGTATTGTGAAAAGTGCAAGTTTACACACTCTTTGGTTTTATGACTGTTATTTTTGCAGATTAATTCTAAAAAAAACATAAGAAACCACATGCCTTTTATTCATTCCTCAGATTGTCAGTGGATTAAACAAATATTCTCTTGTTTCCTTAATTACACATTGCCACACAGTGTTAATAGCCTCATCAGAACACTCGCATACCTGCCACATCTCAAGTTCGTTGCATAACACCGTGTTGTAATGACCTAGGCAAGCTAGTCTTTACTGTTAGATAAACACTCAACTTCAAACTCCATTTTCAACAATAACTTGCATGTGTTGTTTAAAACTCATGACTGACAGCAATTACCACTTGATCTTATCAAAACAGCATGTGCAAAAGTTGCTTTGATCTTTGATAATGTTAAAGAAAATGTTCCACACACAGCTGAAGTTAATACACCGCTAGCTATAGTTTTGTCGGCCAAAACTTTCCATGTTACAATGTCTTTGGATGTGTAATCCATCCCCTGTATATTTGGATTTGATCACATAAAAGTGAGAAAATATATTTCAGTCATTTTCACCTGAAACATGTAGTAATGGGGCAGTGGTGTAGCCTAGTGGTTAAAGTGTTCTCTCGTCACACCATGGGTTTGATTCCCCACATGGGTACAATGTTTGAAACCCATTTCTGATGTCCCCCGCCGTGATATTGCTGGAATATTGCTAAAAGCGGCTTAAAACCATACTCACTCTCAGATGTGATTTTTCATAAATATACCACACGCTGCGAATTTGATTAACATGATTAAGTTTTTGAAACATGATGCAATAATAAATTGCTCACTGTGAGAAAGAAACATCAGTGGTTCAAGCTTTCGTTGATTATTTAGATATTTGCCTTTCTGTAAAGTAGGATAAGATAGTTTGGTCTGATGTTGGCAATAGTTGATGAACTGTCTGCTCTTCCTCTGCAGGTTTTTGTGCCAGCACTGCCACCAACCCGATATGGTTTGTCAAGACGAGGCTTCAGCTAGATCAGAAGTGAGTATAACAACCTCAGTAATTCACATTTTAAGGAAACGCTGTTTTAGATTGCATTCAATATTGTGACTTACATCACTGACATATTGCTTCATAATGGAGGCAGGGTACAAAGCAATCTTAGGGCTAAGGTGACCGTGACTCCTATACCTTAACATAGACTTAAGGTAGTCTTAGCGCTAAGGTGACCGTGACTCCCATACCTTAACAGACTTAAGGTAGTCTTAGGGCTAAGGTGACAGTGACTCCTATACCTTAACATAGACTTAAGGTAGTCTTAGCGCTAAGGTTGTTTTGTACAAAAGCACCCTCTTTCTTTAAACAAGCAGACAAATCTCCAGTTAGACCCTTTTATTTAGAGCTTGCTCTTAAAAACATGTCGGCTGACGTCATTCAGTTAATCTTTAGTGGTAAATGTTTTTTCTTGAGATATCATCTTTTTACCAGTCAGATTACGTCAATGGGATTAAAGTTTGAGGAACAATATGGTGTTTGGTAATCTTCCCAGTGTTTGCAAGGGCATGTGCAACAGATATGGCTTCCCAGTCTTAGGGAGTGATAGGAAGCCCAGTCCTGCCGCTTGTAGATGAAATACTGTCCTGGTGGCCTTGTTGATGATGGTCTCTAATCAATAAATGACATACATTGTGTTGGGTTTCTTACCTGCTCAGGTTTTATGCCACGTGAGAGGAAATCAAGCTCTCTAATAGGTTTCCTTTTTCCGATGGTCTGTCAGTATGTTTGATTTGTAGAACATAATCTGTCATGCATGGCTATAAATGGTAATGCGTTCTATGTTTAACAGTGATATGTGACAGCAGTATTTTTCAGATGTGGTTAAAACCTCTTATTTGGTGAATATTTGTAACTATAGTGCAAAACAAATGTCACTCGAGTCTTAACATCCCAAATCTGATTTACTTATTCGTTTTGAATTTTGTAATGTGCTTTAGCTATTAGCTGTATAATATAATAAATAGCACAAGTTAGGGGTTTGGGGCTGCTACCTAGCTCCCAAAAAATATTCTTTAAAAAATGTCTTCATTATCCAAGATTTTTGCCTGATCCAAAACTTAGGGGCAACAGATAGACTCAGAACTAAGTTTATTGAAAGGGAATGCAGAAGTCAGAAACCCTGAGTTAAGTATGTTTAGGACAGTACTCAGCTAAGCTTTGTATTAAAACTAAATTTAAAGATGGTATTGAGACTGTTTTGCACTGTTTTAAAGCAAATAGATTACTTGAAGATAGCTACATATAACTGAATTAGAAAACATGTGGGACCTGCTGGACTTTCAAGTTGTTGAGTTGTTTCTTGATATAAGATCATTGTATAATGTCTAGACCCTGGTTAACAAACATGGCTTCTTGTTTCAGACGCGAGGGGAGCCTGTCATGGCAGAAGTGCATCCGTCTAATCTACGAGGAACATGGCATGAGAGGGTTCTACAAAGGCATCACAGCGTCTTACTTTGGCGTGACCGAAACTGTCATTCACTTCCTCATCTACGAGTCCTTGAAAGCCCAATTCATGAAGAACGACCCCCCTGAGTGCAACGGGACTGGAATCTCATGTCTGTTGAAGTACATGACAGCTGGGGCCATCTCGAAAACATGTGCAACAACCATAGCATACCCTCATGGTGAGTTTTAGTCGGTCTCAGTCTCTGAACCACATTATTGTCCCTATTGCCTAGCCCGCCCTGCAACAACCATAGCATACCCTCATGGTGAGTTGTAGTCTGTCTCATAGTCCCTGAACCACATTATTGTCCCTATTGCCTAGCCCGCCCTGCAACAACCATAGCATACCCTCATGGTGAGTTGTAGTCAGTCTCACAGTCCATGAACCACATTGTTTGCCCAACTGCCAAGTCCTCCCTGCAATGCTAAAGCCCTAGATGAAGCAAGTCAAGATTTCCTCCGGTTCAGGTTCCAAATCTCCTATCTCACTGGGGCTCCATTTCAATTTAAATGGGTTTATTTGTTACTGTCTAAATTATGTATATTCATAGACTGAGCGTTCATCTAGATGTGTTGCTGAACATTGGATGGTGTTTGGGGAAATATTAGGCAGTGATTGAACATTAATGTCTGAAAGTTCTTCACCTTAAGCAACATTCATAAAACTCTGATGCTGTATATCATTGAATTCCGTGACTTTATTGAGATATGGCTGGAATACTACTAAAAGCTTTGAAAAACATGCTCAACATTTGCAAGGTTTGTAATATGGAGTGTGTTTATTACAGAGGTTGCGAGGACACGACTACGACAGGAAGGCAGGAAGTACCGCTCGTTCATCCAGACTATTCTGTTGGTAGCCAGGGAGGAAGGTCACACAGGGTTATACCGTGGCCTGGTCACACAGCTCGTCCGACAGATCCCCAACACCGCAATCATGATGGCTACATATGAACTTGTTGTACATCTGCTCTCAAAAGATGACAAGACCGGCTAGCTCCTTCACTCTCAACAGAGGAGACTCCAACAGATGTGATGACATGGGCCAGTCCACACATTTCATCGGGATCATCGATGGAGAAGACATTCGGCAGTTATGCCACATCATTCCTTCAAGTCCAGATGAATCCAAATCTAGATCTGAAACCCAGGGTCAGTCAGAGGAAAAGATCTGAGTTCACGTTCTCAACACAGAATCTGTTCTGGGGGCATAGAGAAGTTTCGAGAAAGAGATGATCTCTGTAGTCCTGTACAGTTGAAACTGAACATTTTCGTCTGCACAAATCACTCCCAGCTTGCCATGGATGAGTGTGCGAGAGCATGCCACAGGACAAGCTCATCATGTGTTGAACATATTGGTGCTGCAGCAGTCTTTCGACTGGTTCCACTGTTGATTACTTCAGGCTGACGGTGTATCAGTCATCATATCATTTCACCATGGTTACTTGTAAAATCATTTTCAACAATTTTCTATGAATCCTTTGAACCAAAATACTTTAGTAGGGAAAGTTAACCAAATAATTTGTTTGTGAAAGATCAGGTGATTATAAAACAAATTTAAGAATGTTAATTCCACTTGCAATATTCATATTTGTGGCACGATCATTTTCAGCTAGTGTTATGCATACACAAGTACTTGTGATAATGTACATACTGTGTTGGATGTGAAAGATGTAAATATCTGTGTGTGCGTGTGTACGTGTGTACGAATGAGTGAGGGATCAGTCTGTCAACCAATGGGGTCATTTCCATTAGAAATGTGAAAAAATAATGAAAATGCTTCCAAAAAATATAATGAAAAAAAAGTGCAATTTTTCATGTTTTTTCAGATAACAGATATCAAGAGTGCTAAGGCAAGAAAAAAACACAGAAACAAACAACAATCAAAATAAATCTTTAAGATGCACGGAACTTGCACAAAGAGTCATAGTAGTGGTACAGGTTTCTTGTTTAGTTTCATTTGCTGAAAGACTTGAGTTTTTGAAAACGTGTTTGAAAATATTTTGTGTTCCTGGAATTTTTGTGCTGATGGGGGATTGAATTTCACATCCATTCCAGGTTAGCATACGGTTTTAGTATTGATACTTTATGATGGCTCCTGTAACGGGGACAGCATCTTCTAGCAGCAGTGCTTTTTGTAAATGGTAGATAGTTTTTCAAGTGTAAATAAGTGTACATATTTTGTGAATAAAATACTCAAGTTAAGATGTTGTGCCTTATTGACTTTATTATTTCGTTATCTTGGCATTAAACTTGCAGCCTGTCAAGGTGATGATTCTAGTCATCAGAGCGTACCTGCAGACAGTTTGGTTGATAATGACATTTATGATGAACTTGCTAAGCAGTGTTTTCTCCAGCCTGTTTTTCCTCACTCAGAATCTTGTAGATTTTCTGATGTGATTTGATGATGATCCTTGCTGTGGTGGAGCTGATTTGGTTAATCTATTGGATCATGTATGATCCACAAGCAAGTTGGTATCAGACTCTAGTTACATACCTTGAATAGTAAACCATCCTTCTTTTGTGATGGTGATGCTCTCCAATCACAATAGCAGCTTCATTGATGTGATCTCCACACATGATCAGGCTTCAAGGGTTGTCAAACAAATGGTGGATGGCATGATCACCCCATCATACTGACCAACCAGAGATACTGTTCACCTGTTAGTTCCACTTGGCAAGGTAGACAGATGTCATGGGATAGATGATACACAGAGCAGCTGTCAGTTCTGACTATCCCATACTCTATTGTGATGCTCATGCTGTTGATCACTGGATTGTTTGGTCCAGACTCGATTATTTACAGACAGTCGCCATACAACTTGAATATTGCTGTGTGCAGCATTACCAACTCGTCAAGACAAGCATGCATATCTGTCCAACTTAAGAATATGCCTATGATTTTGAAAAAGCATTTGACTCCGTAGACTGGAACTTCATTGAAGAGGTTTTTGCGTTTTTTAATTTTGGGGAATCTATAAGAAAATGGATCAAGACATTATATTGTAATATAAGTTCATCAGTATTAGTAAATGGCTTTGGTTCTGACTTCTTTAATATAACTAGAGGCTGTAGACAAGGAGATCCTTGAAATCATTAATTCTGCCAACAATGAACCACTTATTTTCCGCCCTACCCAATTCATCAAATGACATTATTAATGACCTAGAAAAACTATGTTTCTCCTTTGTATGGTATAAAAAACTTGATAAGATTAAACATGATATCATAAAACAAAATTTGAGGATGGCGGTTTAAGAATGCCCGATACAAAACAGACTATCAATGCTAAAAAAATTGCATGGCTTAAAAGAATATGTTTAAAAGACTCTAAATTGACTGCCATCTTTTCCTATAATGTTTCACAAAACATACCAGATATCCTGCTGAAGGGGGAAACATTTATAAAACAAAGTGTTATAAATAAAAAAACAAACTGTTTTTGGAAAGACGCACTTTTAGCATGGGGTTTCTATACGTCATTGAAAAATTAAAAAGTTGTTCAGGGTGCCGTTGTACAAAACAACCTTAGAGCTATGGCTACCTTAAGTCTATGTTAAAGTATGGGAGTTACAGTCACCTTAGCGCTAAGATCGCTTTGTACAACGGCACCCTGGGCAATGATATTTGATCGCAATGTTTATGGCACAATGAACAAATTCTCTTGGATAAAAAAACATTCGTGTACCAACACTATGCTAAAATAGGCATAACATATGTAAATGACTTGATAGATACTGATGGAACAATCTATACATATCAAAAGTTTTACGAGCAAACTAGAAAATACTTAAAAGACGAACTTCTTAGAATATGCAAGCCTAGTAAGAGCAGTCAAACAATATAAAACATACAACATATCATTTGGAGAAACACTTGAATTAACATTTATTCCTTATTACATACAAGACATCTTTAAAACTAAGAATGGCTGTAGGACATATTATGATATACTTATTCCAATTTCAGACTCTGCTATGTATACCTATAAAAAGAAATGGGAAGATGAACTTGAAACAGATATAAGTGAAAAAGAATGGAAATGCTATCAAAAGATTATATTTCGAGCTCACACAAACTCACACTTTAGATGGTTCCAATATTCTCTAGTGCATAGAATCTTGTCAATAAACCTACTCTTGTTTAAGATGGGGTATGTGGAGAGTAAGTTATGCTCATTTTGTAAAAATGCACCAGAAAGCGGAATTCATCTCTTTTACGACTGTCCAAAATCTAAAAACATATGGAATCAATTTTCCAATTGGATAAGAACAAAAACAGATATCACATTCAATATTGATAAGAATCATATTAGGATTCTCTGATAAAAGGAACGATGTCCTTAATCTCCTGATGACAGCTGTCAAATTTACTCTTTTTAAAATACGAATATATACTTGTACATCAAGATTCGATACGATCAGAAATGAAATAAGTAAAGTTTACAATATCGAGAGAACACATGCCATCTCTTCTTGTAATTTTACCAAATTGAGTATTTCTTGTTGACTGCTACACAGTTCAGGCTTGTGTGGAACTGGAGCATTGTCATGATTTGGGACATGAACATTATTTGTTTCTTCACTGAACTGACACTTGGCACTGAACCAAACGTTTAGTGAAGTAGCTGGAGTGCACCAGACTGGGGGATATGCAAAGAGGTTATGAATATTGCACAATTAGCACATGCTTATAACATGTTGCATCACCAGCTGTATTTATCCATAGTCACTGAAGCTCACCTTTCCACATTAAATTCAAATAATCTTATATGTTGGAACTTAACAGAAATACTGATACAAAAGTTTACACTAAATATTTCCCTTCTGTTAGAGAACTAGTGGATAGTTATTTAGATGACAACATACAAAGAAACAGAGATGGACCAAATAATTGAAATTGTCAAGAATTTAAAGCGCAAGTTTACAATTTGATAACCTCAGTTTTGAAGTGTACTCTGAAAAAATCACATCCCAGTGAAATGGGTAAAAATCAAATTTGTTGGCAAAAAAGGAAAATATATTTTTCCAAGAATCTCCCAAAGCAAAAGGCCCTAGTGTTTCTTCAAGTCTAATCAGTTTTCCAATAAGCAAGCCATTATAATTTGAACTGCGCATTTGACACTGAAACAGAAGGGATTCCAAACTCTGTGCTGTGCTCTGTTACTATTCCATGGAGCCACCCAACCTAGAAGATCCGGGTTAGTATTGATCCTCAGCTTACTTGGTTGGCACATGTCAAAGCATGCCAATTGTTTAGATTAATGCTCATGCTGTTGATCACTGGATTATCTGGTCCAGACTCAATTAATATTGCTGAGTGAGGTGTTAAACAACCAACAACAACATTAACAACAGACCAAGGCCATCAACAACCATTCGCCAATCCCATCGAGGTGCTTTAGAGATTGCTGAATCATATAGAGGTGTTTATAAAATGAGAGAAATATTATAACGAAATATGAGAGTTTGGACACAAAGACAACATTGTGATAAGTACTCAAACAAAGGAGTACTGTATTGATCCTGTACAACTTTTCATTTCATTAAACCTGTTTGCAAAGTATAGATAAAGCAGTGCAATATTTGCGATATTACACCTTTAATATTTAGAAAATGTATTAATAAATTTACTTTGAATGTAGAGCTAGGCCAACTATAGATTTAACCATGACACTTTGAAAGGAATATGCTAAACATTCAGACCACATTATGTATATATTCATTTTTCCATGCTGTGGTCCTTCCACTCTCTTATTCCATTTATATTACGTTTTCTGGGCATTGTTTTCCGTGCATACCTTGAATAGTATTGTAACTGCAAAAATGAACTTTTTATACTTAGAACCACATATAACATACTGAATACTAACAATGACAGGGTAATCAAACTGTCTAAATGTCAGATCATGAATTCAAGATCATCTAGACTGTCATCCAGACAGACTAACTAATGCATAATGCTTTATAAGAACTTATACATGCATTAACAAGAGCTATGAACATTATTATATGAACAGGTAGCATCAAGGTGTCAGTCAGTATTCAATTGTTAAATGCCTGCCTCACTTAGCAATATTCCAGCTATGTAGTAATACTACCGGTAATAATAATTAATCAATTTATATTGCGTTAAATCCACACTGACAGCATTCTCATAGCACAGGATTATTATTACCCTGGATAACCCAAGCTGCCTGTGATGCGCTAGGTTAATAGTCACATGACTTATCCCACCGGGTACCCATTTTCTGCTGGGTGAAATGAGGCAATTTTGAACAAACTCATTTTTAGGTGAGACCACATGTATCACATGTGCTTCAGACTGAAGACATAGCTGCCAAACAGTCATCCATCCAAGGACTCTCCGCTATCATATCAACGTTGCTTAACTTCAACTGATTTGTGACCTGAGCACTATGCACAGGGCCACACACCACCAGGCACCTATATGACAGGGGACTGGAAATAATCAAGTCTGGACCTTGAATATAACAACTCATTTTAGAAAGTGTCAAATGTAACAAATGTTTAAATTCTAGTACTTTTGGAAGTCCAATCCGAGATGTGAACCCAGACCCTTAGCATCCTGTTCATTAAGTCTGGACCAGTCAATCCAGTGATAGACATGATGATTGCCTGTTAACACAATATGGATACAATGTCATGTATTCAACATATTCACTAAGCCAGACCACGTTGTTCCATCAAGTCGTCCCTGCGACAAGCACATATTGCTGATGATGATTTGGAGATAATATGTGCACTTAATACTGACATGATTGTAGGACAACCTGATTGGTGCTCAAGTGTTGCATATTTTATATTTACCACATGTATGAAATTCAAACTTTGAAATTTTCCAGTGGTGGAGGTGGTGAATGCTTCAAACATTAAAAAATATGACCATAAATGAAAGCAAAGATGTTCATCCTTCAGGTATCAGGACCCACAATCAGCTAAATCTCTGTCTGACCACATGATCACAGTAATCACAGGTTGTGTGCACCAGTTCAAACCCTCAATAGAAAAGGATCTTTCAATACTCCTTTGGTAATAAAATACAGATTGGATAGGTGTGCAGATGAATGGTGAGGTGTGCAGATGAATGGTGGAGTGCAGATGAATGGTGAGGTGTGCAGATGAATGGTGAGGAGTGCAGATGAATGGTGAGGAGTGCAGATGAATGGTGAGGTGTGCAGATGAATGGTGAGGAGTGCAGATGAATGGTGAGGTGTGCAGATGAATGGTGAGGAGTGCAGATGAATGGTGAGGTGTGCAGATGAATGGTGAGGAGTGCAGATGAATGGTGAGGAGTGCAGATGAATGGTGAGGAGTGCAGATGAATGGTGAGGTGTGCAGATGAATGGTGAGGAGTGCAGATGAATGGTGAGGTGTGCAGATGAATGGTGAGGTGTGCAGATGAATGGTGAGGAGTGCAGATGAATGGTGAGGTGTGCAGATGAATGGTGGGGTGTGCAGATGAATGGTGAGGTGTGCAGATGAATGGTGAGGAGTGCAGATGAATGGTGAGGTGTGCAGATGAATGGTGAGGTGTGCAGATAAATGGTGAGGAGTACAAATGAATGGCCAGGTGTGTATGGTCAGGTGTACAAATGAATGGTCAGGTGTGTATGGTCAGGTGTACAAATGAATGGTCTGGTGTACAAATGAATGGTCAGGTGTTTATTGTCAGGTGTACAAATGAATGGTCAGGTGTGTATTGTCAGGTGTACAAATGAATGGTCTTGTGTGTATTGTCAGGTGTGTATTGTCAGGTGTACAAATGAATGGTCAGGTGTTTATTGTCAGGTGTACAAATGAATGGTAAGGTGTCTATTGTCAGGTGTACAAATGAATGGTCAGGTGTGTATTGTCAGGTGTACAAATGAATGGTCAGGTGTGCAGATAAATGGTGAGGAGTGCAGATGAATGGTGAGGAGTGCAGATGAATGGTCAGGTGTGTATGGTCAGGTGTACAAATGAATGGTCAGGTGTGTATGGCCAGGTGTGTATGGCCAGGTGTGTATTGTCAGGTGTACAAATGAATGGTCAGGTGTGTATGGCCAGGTGTGTATGGCCAGGTGTGTATTGTCAGGTGTACAAATGAATGGTCAGGTGTGTATGGCCAGGTGTGTATGGCCAGGTGTGTATTGTCAGGTGTACAAATGAATGGTCAGGTGTGTATGGCCAGGTGTGTATGGCCAGGTGTGTATTGTCAGGTGTACAAATGAATGGTCAGGTGTACAAATGAATGGTCAGGTGTTTATTGTCAGGTGTACAAATGAATGGTCAGGTGTGTATGGTCAGGTGTACAAATGAATGGTCAGGTGTACAAATGAATGGTCAGGTGTGTATTGTCAGTAGTGCAGATGAATTGTCAGGTGTACAAATGAATGGTCAGGTGTGTATTGTCAGGTGTGCAGATGAATTGTCAGGTGTACAAATGAATGGTCATGTGTATATTGTCAGGTGTGCAGATGAATTGTCAGGTGTGCAAATGAATGGTCTGGTGTACAAATGAATGGTCAGGTGTACAAATGAATGGTCAAGTGTGTATGGTCAGGTGTGCAGATGAATGGTCAGGTGTACAAATGAATGGTCAGGTGTGCTCTATGGGATAGAAGTGTACCCCAAAGAATATTTTTCAATGAAAGAGAAAATGCACAAAAGTACACTGACCTCTGGCATTCTGTAGGAAATGTCACTACAAAACTATTTGAGCCCTGCCATTATGTCAACCATGCAATTAGCCAAATATGTTTGACAAACCAGGAGCTCTTGAGCTCCAAGAGACAACTGTGTAAGCAAACCACAGTGTCTTTGACCAGGTGACACAAACTAAAACAAGATATCCTGTCACTTGTCATTCCATATTATCAGTATCAGAAATACACCAACAACAATATGCTATTATATTTTACATTTTAATATATAAAACTTCTTTGGCTATATACACTTTAAAATGGTACATACACATGTATTCTTCAAGTCAGTGACTGACTTCATCCCTCTCCAGTTGTACAAATTATGTTCTCAAAGACAGCACTCCTCGTCTGTTCTTTGTAAGAGATCTGGCTAGCTATTCTCGAAACGTTCGTAGCCCTACGAAACTCTTAAGCCCATTCTTAACACATTGGCTACGATCAAAGTTAAAGGTCACATGCAACGTAAAACACAACTTTGCAGATTCTGATGCCTTTCGGTATGGACTTACCAAAACAAATCATCAAAAATGCAAATTCAACTTATAAAGTTGAAAAATAACGCGATGAAAAAACCCGCGCGAAATCGGAGTTCAAACGATTCACTAATTTCCCCCCAGAGCTTGGGGGAATTTAAGTGGTTTCAGCAGCTGTGCTGGGCTGCGCTCATAGCACATGCGCAGTGAAATAGGCTCGCGCAGCTTGGAAACGGGTTGTCCGGTGAATACTCGGTGAAGGCTTTGGTGTGAGCTATTTTTCTAATGTTTTGTTGCTATTTCACAGGCGCAAGCTTTTTATATGTTATGACTGTAGATTACCGATTTAACTGTTTATATAATTTCATTTGTCTATTTCACCACACGTTCTTCTAACCGAGTCACTTTCTCAGTTCGATACTTAAAAGCAATGTCATTATTTAGCGTTGACAGAATTTCTAACTGTGATATAGATATGTCGTCGTCACAGACAAAACTCAATGTCTGTTTTATCGACACCTATGTGTCTGCCTACCTGTCTGCTAATGACAATATTCAATACACAACTTCGATCACTGACCACATGCAATTTGAACTTAACACCTATCAGGCTTTACACCATAAACAAAACGCATTGAATTATGGCCCGAGTTCGGTCTCTGTCACATTATGTAATTAAACAGACAGGCAGGTGTGATACTAGTACACATGACATGTTATGATGTCTGTTGATTGCAAAATGTTATACACAAAAAATGAGCATGTATTTACAAAACCCAACATCTCTATATATATACACACACACACAATGAGCCGTGAGGGCATCGGCAAATGAACCAGCCATTACACTTGAGTGCACACCCACCCGCTCTGACTGGGTTCGGTATCCGGGCTGCTTCGTTTCTTGGGAAGTAAACCCAAGTACAAAATATTGCACTTTTGATTTGTGGTTGTACGCTTATAATTTTGTTTATATGTTTTTTCATAACCAGCAATGCATATTATATGTCATGAATAAGTGATAATTGTGTTTTAATTATTTTTTGGTTGCATGTGACCTTTAAGGATTCTTATGGCTATGAACATTTCGGGGGCGGTGGGGTAGCCTAATGGTTAAAGCATTGGTTCGTCACGCCGAAGACCTGGGTTCGAATCCCCACATGGGTACTATGTGTGAAGCCCATTTCTGGTGTCCCCCACCGTGATGTTGCTGGAATATTGCTAAAAGCGGCGTAAAACCAAACTCAGTCAGTCAGTCAGTACGAACGTTTCGAGAATAAGGGTTTTGGAGTAGGTTATGATGGAAGGGAGATAACTCTGCAAAGTTTTCTGTCTACTTCAAACTCGGCTCATGTATAACCAAATGGCAAACTTAACTATGGGAGGTAACTCTTCCTGGATAACATTTCATGTGTACTGCTCATACCTTGAACTGTCTGAATACTGACCACTTCCATCTTGGATGTAGCGCCCATGGAGAACTGTATTCAATTACATTTGCCCCTTTTTTCAAATAAAATGACTTTTTTAAAAAACAAACACAAAAAACCCATTAAACATGAATCAAACAGTTGGCTAAAAGTTAACTTCACAGATGTATCAGCAAGTTGGTACCAGGACATTCACACTCAAAGTAACATCATTAGGAATATAATTGCTGTTTACACTCATGGACTTGTTTAGGTTTTTCATTGCTGTTTACACTCTTGGGGTTTAGGTTTTTCATAATTCACTTGTGTGATAACCCGACGACCTGCTTTGGGTTTCCCACCTTCCTTCCTTCCCGGCTTCTCTACGTCCACTAGGGCTGTTTGTTCCTTCTTTCCTTCAGAGTTGACCACAGTAACAGCATCGGACAGAGACACACACTTTTCTCCAGGCAGTTTTACTGATGAGCACTTCTTTTCGGGGTGATCATCATCATGTGACATCACATTCTCTCTGTGACTGTTTACCAGTACACTTGTGTTCCCAGACCTTTTCAAGAGGGAGGAAGCGTCCAGACCTTCAATGCCGTGACTTTCACGGATTTTCATTTTCTCCTCTTCTGTCTCGTCCTCAGAGTTGTTCAATGGAATCTTCTCCTTTTTGAAAACCATTCCATGTTTCTTCTTCTGTATCTTCTCTGCAAGGAAATCCACATTAAGAAATAGAGAGAGTGAGTGAATGAGCAGGTGGGATTTAGCAATATCACGGCAGGGGACACCAGAATTGGGCTTCACACATTGTACCCATTAAGAAACAGAAACACATACTGATCAGTTAGACTAGCTTGTGAGCAGGGAATGTCAAAATGGTCCAAATCAAAGTGACAGGGTGCCCTAGTTACCTGACACTATTTCACAACACAGATTACTGGTCCTCCTTACAGGAATACCAACCAAACATTGTAATTCTCATTACCGTTTACAAGGGCAATAAGACCAGTGTGCGAAATAGCCTCTGGCCCCCTAGACCTTGGCTAGTAAAAATCCAGTCGGGCCAGTAAATCTCCACAGTCCCTGGCCTGACTGGCTAGTGAATTTGCATAGGGTCAGTTTGTAAATATATTACTCTCTCCTACTTGTTAAGTTATAACACACTTTTAAATCATGCAAGATTATGGACTGATAAACAATTTTCCTCATATTAGCAGCTTAATGATGAAACCCGTGTCTACATTCAACTTTCAGACTAGTGAATTATTTTGTGGGCTAGTAACTTTCAGGCATAACAGTCCTGACTGGCTAGCAAAATTTTAAAACTATTTTGCACACTGAATAAGAATGCTACGAAACTTTCGTTTCTTTGTCCAGGGCACGATTTAAGAGGTGTTAACCTACTTGCACCAGGTGCAACCTAAGATAAAAACCTACTTGCATCAGACAAATTCCAATTGCACTGCTTTTATTGCAATATGTAATGAAAGAATATGCTATTGAATTATTTAGATGTTTTCAATCTCATCATAATGCAACTAATCCCCGGTTTTTTTTTTTACCATTCCTCTTTAAATTTGCAAGTCTTCATTTTTTTAGCAGTGTGTTTGTCTCAAATTTACGTTTCAATTCATCATATGTAATTATATCACCTGGCCTCGATATGCCACATGCATCAGCAATGTCGTGTTGGTATTGGCATGTTTCTCAGTTACCGTGTTACCACTTTTGTCAGTCACTTCACTTGATTTCTTCAGGAAAAATGTTTTAATACTTGCCTTTTGCTATCCATTTTATAGGTTATTTTCATTCACGGTATGGATAATTAAAATTGACAGGAGGCTCAGCGTTTCACACAGCCATGTGCAATAAATCTGTCAGCTATCACTTTAAATGATGATGTACTGTGCGAAAACATCAGAGGTTTCAGTGCACATAAATATATTTCTGTAACATAGTACCCATGAAACCATAGCAACACAGCCACACAGCTGATCCCTGTTTACAAGAGCTGTTATAGTCAAGAGGTGTCCGAAAATATCAATGTTTAGGTGTCATGGCTATTCAACATTTAGGAGAAAAAGAAGCCGTCACAATTATGCTTATGATGTTAGATTTATCAATGTATTTCTCAAAATTGACTTGCACCTGGTTTAGGTTAGACTAATAACTAGGTTGCACTTTGTAATATTGGGATGTACCAGTGCAAGTATCGAAGCACTAAATCGAGCCCTGTTTGTGTTGCACTGTTCTGATGAGGTTGTGTTACGTCCAGTACCCTAGACAAACACTTAGTCCCTGAATATATATCCTTTACGTAGTAACAAATAAACCCATTTAAATTGAAAAGGAGCCCCAACGAGATGGAAAATTTAGAACCTGAGGAAATCTAGACTTGCTTCACTTCGATCTTTAGCATTGCCGGGAAGGCTATGAAGTAGGGAATAGAATGAGGTTCAGGGACTGGGAGACAGACTACCAGTACCCATGATTATGTACAGAGAGATTTCTTTAATGTATTCTTAATATCAACTCACATTGGAATTTTAAAATTAAAAGGTTTCCAGACATGCTGGATTGTGGGTTCATGATTTCTGGTACCCTAGAAAAGTAATGTCCATTGGTCAGATAGCTTTTATGAATGTTGATTATAAGGTTCGATGACTTATACAAATAACGAATTGTAAATCAATGTAACGTACTGTGAGCCTTGTATGGCGATACAATATAAGTTGTTCACTGGTCACGAGGGGGGCATTGGTTGATGGACCCTCGATGTTTGTTTATGTTCCCTGAGCCCGAAGGGCGAGGGGAACATAAACAAACATCGAGGGTACATCAACCCATGGGCCCCGAGGGACCAGTGAACAACGTAATTATCTTACCGAACACCCTTAATGTTAATTTTGAATTGTTTGAAGCACGGGTACAAATCTTTTCGTAGCCATCGCTAGATTTTGCTGACAAGAAAAACAGATTTAGAGTTATCTCCCTTCCACCGATTTGCATTCGCGAAACATCAGTAATTTCCGTACATCATATGTAATTCAATGTTATTCGAGAGAAAGAATTACTACCACGAAGTACAGAATGAGTTGCCATTGACAGCAGGGTACATTGAAATGTTACTCGCTTGTAAGTGGGGTACATTGAAAATAATAGAAGAGCACTCAGCCAATCAGAAAGCGACATTTATGTGTGAGGTAAGATAATGCTGTATGGCTGTATCTTGGCACCATTAATGGACACATGTTCATAATGGAGTCTAAACATGTGGCTGAAGACCAAAACTGTCCCATTAATACCTTTGCAGTATTTGATACTATTGTTATTATTGATAACATTATTTCAAGCAAGACTGTTTGGTATGTATTCAGTTGTGCAAAATTTGTAACCATTGTTCTAAGTTTCATAGAGTGTATGTGAAGCTGACCTTAATCCAGGGACCATATTCACATCAGCTATTTGTCAGCACCAGGAAGGTGGGGTAGCCTAGTGGTTAAAGTGTTCGCTGTCATGCTGAAGACTTGGGTTCGATTCCCCACATGGGTACAATGTGTGAAGCCAATTTCTGGTGTATATTGGGAATAATTCAAGAGTACAACCACCATTACATGTTTGACATGAATCGTGCTCTTTGGTTATCAGTAAAGGCAAAACCTTCAGATTCTCAACAGAAGTCTCCTTCACTGTCAGCAAACCATAGTCAGTTGTGCAGCAAATAGTGTCTGTTTTCCCAAGCCCCGTGTGCATGAGCATGGTCAGTAAATCTCCTCCTTTCCACCAACAGCTTTTCAGATTCAGTCAAATGAGGTGAAGATTTTGTGGCCTGACGACTGCCAAAATACAGGATTTATGACAGTTCAGCAACTGATATTGTGTTCTTAGAATTATTCCTAGTAATAAAGCTGAGATGAAATAAAGGAAGGACATTGCCAGGAACTATTGACCAGGATACTGATACTGACCAGGGTCATATTTCAGGAGCAGTTCTTCGTTCTGGAGGTACAGTTTGACATTCTGTTTGTGTACTTTGGCTTTTTCCTCCTCTGCAGTAAAGATCTCCCTCTTCTGCTGTAACACCTCATGCTTGGAGTCCAGGTACATCATGTTGGTCACGCGTAGCTCCGTTCCCACCTCATCCAGCTTCTTTCTGAAACAGACAGCCTCTAGAGGTGAGTGTACAGGGTTGTACAGGGTTGTACAGGGTTGTATTAGGTCAATACTGACATAGAGCTCCTAAATGAAACAGATACAAGGGGGGCAGTGTACAGGGTTTTACATGGTTGTACATGGTTTTACCGGGTTGTAGTTAGGCACTGAACAGTATTTCAGTTATGAACTGGCATGTCAGCTTGATGCGAGAGGGAAGGTTTGAGTGAGTGAGTGTAGTTTTACACAGCACTCAGCAATATTCCAGCTATATGAAGGTGGTCTGTAAGTAATTGAATTTGGAACAGACAATCCAGTGATCAACAGCTTGAGCATTGATTTATGCAATTGGGATTAAATGGCATATGTCAACCAGCGTATCTGACCACCTGATCCCCTTAGTTGCCTCTTAGCATGTGTTGCTGAAGATCATTAAACCGTAATCTTCACGGGTTAGGGAAGCCTGAAGTGAGGCAGGTCACCATTTGGTGACACCCACAAGCATGTGTTGCTGAAGATCATTAACCTGTAATGTTCACGGGTTAGGGAAGCCTGAAGTGATGCAGGTCACCATTAAGTGACACCCACAAGCATGGGCTCAGTGCTGACAAACCTAGAGAAATCATCAGGACAAACCAGGATTCGAACCCACTATGACAGGTTTCTGGCATGCCAAAGGGACACGACTCTCCACAGCACATTGCAGCGTCTAACGCAACTGGTCCTCTTGTGCCTGTACTGATACATGAAGACTGAGTGAGTGAGTGCTTACTCTTTGTCCTTGATCATGTTGAGGAGAAACTGCACATAGTCCTCCCTGTCGCCATGCCCAAAACACTTGTGGAACTCTGCCATGTGGTCCACCTTGCCGTCCTGGAACACAGACACAAGAAACTGGTCAGCACTGCTGGACATAGATCAACTCATGTGAGCACTGGTCAGTGCTTATCGACACTGGACTACACAGGTCAGTACTGGTCGACACTGGTCTACACAGGTCAGTGCTTTTCGACACTGGTCTTCATAGGTCAGCACTGGGCCATTAGGGCCTTCAGCATGCTGTTGCAGAGTATTTATTCAGACAATTTAAGGATAGTACTTAAATCAACTCAATTAGTCTGAACATACTGAAGGCAATAACTTTTGAACTGTTTAACGCAGTTCCTGAATTATCAATGTTTGGGGGCTTCTAGCATTGTTACAGCAAAAGCAAGTATCCCTTCTGCTCTAGGCTGGTTTCAGGAACATAATCTCAGGAAAATGGGACAAAGTCTCATGTAAAAAACATTACCCTTGTTTTCTCCAACTCCTCTACTTTTTTGGTGAGATTCTTTATCTGTGAGTTTGCATCAGACAACTGTGACAGGAGATCGTTGACTGCCTCCCTGTCTGACTGGTTCCCGCTCACCTGCAGCGCCATCTGCATCTGCATCTGTACACAACACAGACATCACCATCTGTACACAACACAGACATCACCATCTGTACACAACACAGACATCACCATCTGTACACAACACAGACATCATTTCACAACACAGACATAATCCTCACCATATGTACACCACACAGCGTCACCTTGAAGACAGACTATACAACAAATGTTTACAACATTTTACATTGTTTCAGCAGACTAGCCCCAGCCTTTGGGATGGCTGATAAAACTACTGGTGTTACAGCTCTTTACATATTCTAGCTGAGCAGCCATGGACTTGATCTGGAGTTGTCTACCTTCAGCTTGTGGTGCTGCTGTTTCCATATGCCACATTTCTCCTTCAGCATTTCAATCTGTATGTTTTGTGAGATCAGTTTCTTCTCTGCAGCGACACGACGGTCTTCAACCTGCACAACAAAATCAAAACATTATCCATCTCTCTTCCAAGTTACACCCAAACATTCCTTGGACATGAAGTTATTTGCAAAGCCCATTGTGAGGCTCTCAAGACTTGTGATCAGCTGAGCTGTTCATCCAAATATCAGCAGGTACACTGACAACTATCAACACCAGCTGAGCTGTAGGTACACTGACAACTATCAACACCAGCTGAGCTGTAGGTACACTGACAACTATCAACACCAGCTGAGCTGTAGGTACACTGGCAACTATCAACACCAGCTGAGCTGTAGGTACACTGGCAACTATCAACACCAGCTGAGCTGTAGGTACACTGACAACTATCAACACCAGCTGAGCTGTAGGTACACTGGCAACTATCAACACCAGCTGAAGGAGGGGCACAGTGGGACAGCCGACTAGTTAGGAATCCATTTGTCACATCGAAGACTTGGGTTCACATCCCCAGATGGGTAGAGTGTGTGAAGCCCATTTCTGGTGTTCCCTACCAAGATGCTGCTGGAATATTGCTAAAAGCATTGTAAAACCACTCACTCACTGTAAGGTGTTTCCCTTGGGTACAGAAAGTAAGATGAAAGACATGGGCTTCTAAAACTTTAATAAATACTGTAAGTAGGACTAATCTAATTAGTTATAATTTATGAAATTATGAACTATGTGACGCCTTGCTAAGTATTTATATCAGTTAAAAGTCCTGACTACTTCAAACCAGCTGTCACATTGACATTTTATCATTCTATGACCGATGACTGATGGCTACCTGAAACTAGAATTTATCTGCAAATGTTCAGAAGCTGAGCAATGTCTGCAGCAAATGTCAGCAAAAATTCCCAGTCTGGAATTTTCCTAATTCATGTACATACTTATGTGGATTAATGTGGAAGTTGCGATGGCTGAGTGGGTTAGACAGCTGACAATGTGTGCTGGAGACTAGGTGCCTGACTCTGAGGGTGTAGGTTTAGTAGGGCGGATAACAGACCAAAATAGGCTGAATCGTTCACTTTGTGATACAAGCACCAAAATTGGCATGATCGCTCACCATGGGCTCCCTGTTCAGAAAATAACATTGGCCAATCAAAAATCCAAGATGGACACCATTTTTCAAGATGGCCGCCACTGGTTATACAAAAATATAATCTTTCTTTTTTGACTATCATTTTTGGCGGATGTTTTTCATCCAGATGTCTAATTCCACTTTAGTTTAGCTTGCAGAACCTTATTTTAATGAAAAATGACAAATAATAAATTATATGGGTGGTTTTATCTGAATATGGTAAGATCAAATTACGATTTTTTTGATTTTCTTCGTAATTCTTGTCTATATTAAATGTTTGTGGTCCCTAAAGTTTTAGATGTTAAAGGACCAAAACTGGTACGTTTACTCAACAAAGATTCATCTTAAAGAAAACAGCATTGGCCACTCAACAATCTAATATGGTCGCCATTTTTCAAGATGGCTGCCACTGATCATACAAACTTTTTGGTTTCCTTGAGATTTTCTTTGCAGGCTTTCATCACTCTGATATTTATACCTAAATGGGTTTTAAAGACACATACTTTAAGGAAATTGGTGAAAATATTGCAGTACTATAATAATTATTCAAACATGAAAACATTGGAATGCGGGATGCGACTCAACCCAACAAAAGTACAAGAATCTGTACTTGACTGAGAAAGTGTAATCCCAAACATAACATTTATTACATTATTAATTAATGCTGTTATAACTGTTGTGTGTTTGTAGAGCCATTTCAGTTTACTGATAGCAGGATCAATATCATAGAGACTCATTGTACATTAACGCATGAATGCAGTGTGAGCATGCAGTGTTAAAATACCTCTGCATTTGGGAACATTTGGAACCAAATAACAACCTACACCAATTTGCCTGCCAAAGGCACTTACTATAAAATTGTAGATAAGTACCTTCAATGGCCTACATCACAAAAGTAAACCTTCATGAAACAAAATCAGCACAAATTCCGCAGATCTGAGGAACACTCTCAGCATACCACTTAATTATTTTTTGTTGAGTTCATTTTAACCATCACCCTAATTTTTTCATAAACCAAGTCTTAAAACTACTAATGATTTGATTCATAATTGATGATAGGATATTTATAAAGCCCACATATCCACGCAAACTAGTACATGCTCAAGGCGATCAAGTTTTCCCTTGATCAATGGATGTCTTTTGTCCTGGCATTCTTTATAGAGTTCGAACTTTAAGGTCAACACTTTGCTTCTGCATCATGTTGACAGATTGAAAAGGTTATATATTCCTGGTATTGCGCAATCTGTTCGTCAACATGCACACTTGTAACCTGAGCCAATAGTTTTTCAATCAGCTCATTGTTATACTGCATCACAATAACTGGGACAGAAATATTCTGTGTCTTCAATGGACTGACTGACTGAGTTTGGTTTTACGCAGCTTTTAGCAATGTCTTCAATGGAGAGCAAGATCACCTGTACTTTAAACTATCTATTGAATTTGTTACCGAACATACAACATGGGTTTCTTTGTTTAAAGACACTATTTCACAACACACTTCTCTAAAAATACATAATGCATTTCTCTGAATAATACTTTCAACCCTCAGGGTAGTTACGATATAATTTATTAAAAAAAAAAAAAAAAAAAGCATTTGGATTACAATATTAAATTAAAAAGTTTGAATGAATTAAAGCAACGTTGCAATAAATCGACTCTCGAGCCCTCTACTGGCCAAACATTATTTCAAGTGAACCCAATAGAGTTATGTCCCTTGGAGTGCTGTTTACGAATGTCATATAACTCCTTTGGAGATGGAATTCAGTCCTAGACAACAAACATAAAGCAATTTTGATTGAAACCAGTCCAGAAATACCAACAACACCTCATGCAACAGTTTTCGATGTACAGAGCAGTTGTTTACATTCCATATATGGCAAGTGTTCTGTTTGAAAGCTGTTCACCTCGAAGTTTCAATTATTGTTTTCAGACAAGTTGTAAGGGATTATAAGTCATTTATTGCATCAATAAGCCAAAAAAGTGTCGAAAATGTGTGAAATTGTTCCTTTATAGTATGACCAGAAATTATTGAGAATTTTAGGAATATGTTAATTGGATTTCTAGTATAAACAACCTTGACCAGCTATCAAGTGCTTGGTTTCATTCAAGAGAGACAACTCTGTTAATCCTTTTTCATTAGTTTGTGAAGAAGTTATCCCCTTTTGTTTACTTGCTAGCAGACGACATTTTCAGTGATCCTCAGTATGGATGATTTAGAGAAGAGGAAGTTGATTTTAGAGTATTATAACAAGGACATCAGATCAGCTAAAGTGATTTCAAGTAGAACAGGCATCCCTTTGTCCACTGTTTATCGTGTTTTGAAAAATATTGCAAATAGATATGACTGTCGGTGACAAACGAAGGAGTTTAGAAAACTAAAGGCTGGATATGACTGATAGAGGAACTGTGGCTGTCTGTAAGGAGACAATTAGAACTGAGCTGCATGCAATGAGTTGGCAGAAAAGTCGAGGAATTCCATCACCGATCATGAAACCTGAACAAAAGGAGCGAAGGTTGAACTGGTGCTTACAGCATAGACATTTTAACTGGGACAATGTGATTTTCTCAGATGAAAGTTCTGTGTGGCTGTTTCCTAATACACTGAAATTCTGGACCAAACAAACTGAAAAACCTTTGTATCAGCACCCAAAGTACAGTCCGAAATTTAACGTGTGGGGTGGCATATCTGTGTTAGGGGCAACGCCCCTCTGTGTATTTGAAGGGAAAATGAACAGTGACCGGAACACAGATATTCTCAAGGGACATTTACTTCCATCTGCTCACGTGTTCTATGGAAACTTTTGGATTTTCCAGCAGGACAACGACCAAAAACATCGTCCAAAATATGACATTATTAGATTGGCCAAGCTATAGCCCTTACCTAAATCCAATAGAAAATGTTTGGGGACTTATGAAGGAAAGTGTCAATAAGAAAAAACTGACAAATATTGCTGAAATGAAAGAAGAGGTGGTCCGATATTGGGACAGCATGGACCACGACTTTCTAACTTCTTTGATCAGTAGTATGCCCCGCCGCATTGAAGCCTGCATTGCTGCCCATGGTGACTTGACAAAATATTAACTGTTCACCTGTCTTTGAATCTGGAGTTATGTTCTGCTAATATTCACATTAAATACGTGAGTAATGAGTGAAATTTTTAAATCTTAAATTCTCAATAATTTCTGGTTGTACTGTAACACCACATTCAGCAGTATTCTAGCCATATGACAGCAGTGTGTAATAACTGATACATATTGACTATGTCTATGTAATAACTGATACATATTGACTATGTCTATGTAATAACTGATACATATTGACTATGTCTATGTAATAACTGATACATAGTGACTATGTCTATGTAATAACTGATACATATTGACTATGTCTATGTAATAACTGATACATATTGACTATGTCTATGTAATAACTTTGTTAATAAGGGAACACTTCGTGTTGACAATTTTTGACAATTTGGGCTTTGATTCATATGTACTATGTCAGTTATGTCTGTACTCAATTTTTGCCCTTCCAATTTGTTCAAATAAGCACCAGCTCAAATATTTTGCTTTGCCACACTCAGCCATATGGCAGTGGTTGGTAAATAATCCAGGAGCATTGATTTACACAATTGGGAAAGGACGACATGTGTCATCCAAGTCAGGGAGCCTGACCACCTGATCCTGTTAGTTGCCTCTTATGACAAGCCCGGGTTGCTGAAGATCACTTTTAACCTAGATATTCACTGTGAGGAGCTGAAATAAGCAGAATTAGCAGTAACATTGTACTGGGTGACATGACATAGGCTGTTTTCCTTGGGTATCGTCTGCAGCAAGTTCATTAGAAATTAGGGTGTGAGGATGGTTTTAGCCAGTTTTAGCGATATTTATGCAATATCACGGCTGGCTTCACACATTGCACCCATGTGGGGAATCGAACCCGGGTCTTCGGCGGGTTCGAACGCTTTAAGCACAAGGCTACCCAAATGCCCCTAATTTAGTCATGATATTCCAACAAGATAGGGAAAGATGTATGTGTATTCAAACCTGTTTGACTTGAAATCAGCAACTGTAATGTCGTAACCTAAAACAACATGAATAATGTGTCACCTTGTTCCCACAAAGTATCACATGAAATCTATTTCTTAAATGGCTGGTCCCATATACCTCGGAGAAGAGAGAGTTTCCTTTGGAGTCATGGCTGTTGGCCTCCATCCTCAGCGCTTCCAGTTGGGCTTTTAAGTCCAGAATCTCAACATGGTATCTCTGCAAAACAGAAATTAAACAGCAAAACCTTCAGTGCTACCTCTGATCTGCCTTGACTTGAATCATGCACTTGATCTGTTTGTTGTTTAACGTAGTGCTAAACAATATATTAAAGCTCTATGATGGCAGTTTGTACATAATCGAGTTTGGACAAGACAGTTCTGTGATTGACATGAGTAGCATCAATCTGTGCAGCTGGGACATGATGACATGTGTCAACCAAGTCAGCGAGCATATTCACGTAAGTCACTTCTTAAGACAAGCATTGGCTGCTTAAGACCTGGATCTTCACGGGTCAACTGAATGATACAACATTGATGACATACAAGCGTACGGTTTGGGGGTCAGTGTGATCCCCATGTTGTGACATACAAGCATACGGTTTGGGGGTCAGTGTGATCTCCATGTTGTGACATACAAGCATACGGTTTGGGGGTCAGTGTGATCCTCATGTTGTGACATACAAGCGTACGGATTAGGGGTCAGTGTGATCCTCATGTTGTGACATACAAGCGTACGGTTTGGGGGTCAGTGTGATCCTCATGTTGTGACATACAAGCGTACGGTTTGGGGTCAGTGTGATCCTCTCATGTTGTGACATACAAGCATACGGATTAGGGGTCAGTGTGATCCTCATGTTGTGACATACAAGCATACGGTTTGGGGGTCAGTGTGATCCTCATGTTGTGACATACAAGCGTACGGATTAGGGGTCAGTGTGATCCTCATGTTGTGACATACAAGCATACGGTTTGGGGGTCAGTGTGATCCTCATGTGACATACAAGCGTACGGTTTGGGGGTCAGTGTGATCCTCATGTTGTGACATACAAGCGTACGGTTTGGGGGTCAGTGTGATCCTCATGTTGTGACATACAAGCGTACGGTTTGGGGGTCAGTGTGATCCTCATGTTGTGACATACAAGCGTACGGTTTGGGGGTCAGTGTGATCCTCATGTTGTGACATACAAGCGTCTGCGGTTTGGGGTCAGTGTGATCCTCATGTTGTGACATACAAGCATACGGATTAGGGGTCAGTGTGATCCTCATGTTGTGACATACAAGCATACGGTTTGGGGGTCAGCGTGATCCTCATGTTGTGACATACAAGCGTACGGATTAGGGGTCAGTGTGATCCTCATGTTGTGACATACAAGCATACGGTTTGGGGGTCAGTGTGATCCTCATGTGACATACAAGCGTACGGATTAGGGGTCAGTGTGATCCTCATTTTGTGACATACAAGCGTACGGTTTGGGGGTCAGTGTGATCCTCATGTTGTGACATACAAGCATATGGTTTGGGGGTCAGTGTGATCCTCATGTTGTGACATACAAGCGTACGGATTAGGGGTCAGTGTGATCCTCATGTTGTGACATATACAATGCGGTTTGGGGTCAGTGTGATCCTCATGTTGTGACATACAAGCGTACGGTTTGGGGGTCAGTGTGATCCTCATGTTGTGACATACAAGCATACGGATTAGGGGTCAGTGTGATCCTCATGTTGTGACATACAAGTATACGGTTTGGGGGTCAGTGTGATCCTCATGTTGTGACATACAAGCGTACGGATTAGGGGTCAGTGTGATCCTCATGTTGTGACATACAAAGCGTGCGATTTGGGGTCAGTGTGATCCTCATGTTGTGACATACAAGCATCACGGTTTGGGGGTCAGTGTGATCCTCATGTTGTGACATACAAAGCGATGCGGATTAGGGGTCAGTGTGATCCTCATGTTGTGACATACAAGCGTACGGTTTGGGGGTCAGTGTGATCCTCATGTTGTGACATACAAGCGTACGGTTTAGGGGTCAGTGTGATCCTCATGTTGTGACATACAAGCGTACGGATTAGGGGTCAGTGTGATCCTCATGTTGTGACATACAAGCGTACGGATTAGGGGTCAGTGTGATCCTCATGTCGTGACATACAAGCATATGGTTTGGGGGTCAGTGTGATCCTCATGTTGTGACATAAAAGGGGCAGGAATCAACCTCCAATATTTATCAATGGAAATAAACCCTGTGAAGATCCAGGTTGGAATTGGTCTCCAGCAACCCATGCTTGTTGTACGAGCCGACTAACAGGATCGGGTGGTCAGGCTTGCTGACTTGTTGACACATGTCATCTTATCCCAGTTGTGAAGATTGATGCTCATGCTGTTGATGAGTGGATTGCCAGACTTGATTATTTACAGACCGCCGCCGTATAGCTGGAATATTGCTGAGTGCGGCGTAAAACAAGAAACCACCGCCAACAACAACAATCAATGGACATTGCTTACAAACATTAGATATATTGAAAAGTGACGAGGACAGAGGAAGAATTGTATGGCGTGAGAGAGAGACAGGTGGAACAGAATCCATGGCGAAGATGTAATAAGGGTAGGGTATTTGAAGGAATTATAGGGGATAAGCTTCAGAGTTTTGTTTACCAATTAGTTACCTTGGAACTTCTTATTAAGTCTGAAGGTGTGAACCCAGCCTGCCCCCACCATCCCTCTACCGCACTCCCTTGAGGTACCTTTCAAGTTAACCAACCCCCTTCCGATACCTTACAAGTTAACTCACTCATACAATACCTTACAAGTTAACTCACCCCATCCAGATACCTTACAAGTTAACTCACCCAATTCAGACACCTTTCAAGTTAACTCACCCATTACAATATCTTACAAGTTGACTCACCCATTCAGATACCTTCCAAGTTAACTCGCCCAGTACAATACATTACAAGTAAACTCACTCCCTTCAGATACCTTACAAGTTAACTCACCCCCTTCCGATAGCTTATATAATTACAAGTTAACTCACCCCCTTCCGATACCTTACAAGTTAACTCACCCCCTTCCGATACCTTACAAGTTAACTCACCCATTCAGATACCTTACAAGTTAACTCACCCCCTTCCGACACCTTACACGTTAACTCACCCATTCAGATACCTTACAAGTTAACTCACCCATTCAGATACCTTACAAGTTAATTCACCCATTCAGATACCTTACAGGTTAACTCACCCCCTTCCGACACCTTACACGTTAACTCACTCCCTGAAGCTACCTTACAAGTTAACTCACCCCCTTCCGATACCTTACAAGTTAACTCACCCATTCAGATACCTTACAAGTTAATTCACCCATTCAGATACCTTACAAGGTAACTCACCCATTCAGACACCTTACAAGTTAACTCACCCCTTCCGATACCTTACAAGTTAACTCACCCATTCAGATACCTTACAAGTTAACTCACCCATTCAGACACCTTACAAGTTAACTCACCCCTATCAGACACCTTACAAGGTAACTCACCCATTCAGATACCTTACAAGTTAACTCACCCCTTCCGATACCTTAGAAGTTAACTCACCCATTCAGACACCTTACAAGTTAACTCACCCCTTCCGATACCTTAGAAGTTAACTCACCCATTCAGATACCTTACAAGTTAATTCACCCATTCAGATACCTTACAAGTTAACTCACCCATTCAGACACCTTACAAGTTAACTCACCCCTTCCGATACCTTAGAAGTTAACTCACCCATTCAGATACCTTAGAAGTTAACTCACCCATTCAGACACCTTACAAGGTAACTCACCCATTCAGACACCTTACAAGTTAACTCACCCCTTCCGATACCTTACAAGTTAACTCACCCATTCAGATACCTTACAGGTTAACTCACCCATTCAGACACCTTACAAGGTAACTCACCCATTCAGACACCTTACAAGTTAACTCACCCCTTCCGATACCTTAGAAGTTAACTCACCCATTCAGATACCTTAGAAGTTAACTCACCCATTCAGACACCTTACAAGGTAACTCACCCATTCAGACACCTTACAAGTTAACTCACCCCTTCCGATACCTTACAAGTTAACTCACCCATTCAGATACCTTACAAGTTAACTCACCCCCCTTGAGGTACCTTACAAGTTAACTCACCCCCTTGAGGTACCTTACAAGTTAACTCACCCATTCAGATACCTTACAAGTTAACTCACCCCCCTTGAGGTACCTTACAAGTTAACTCACCCCCTTGAAGTACCTTACAAGTTAACTCACCCCCTTGAGGTACCTTACAAGTTAATTCACCCCCTTGAGGTACCTTACAAGTTAACTTACTTCCTTGAGGTACCTTACAAGTAAAGTGACTCCCTTGAGGTACCTTACAAGTAAACTGACTCCCTAGAGGTACCTTACAACTCACCCCGACTATCACATGCACATCAGTTTTTACAATTCTCAATGTCAGAGAGAACAGAGAATATCTTTGTTATCATTATTATTTGCATTTTTGACATTCATATATCAGTTTAGTTTTCGAGCTATATTGATCTGTTAACAGGTTACTCATGTTTCTGTCTTCACAACTGCCTTGAGTTTATCAGCCAATAACATCTTGCCTTTTATCACAATTTTAGAGGTATTTACATGATGTTGTTTTTTCATGCTGATGTACACAAAGTTATCAGGACTATGCAGAACAGACGCATAAACAATCCCCTGACCTGCACAAGACCTCTCACAGCAATACCCAGTATCCTGGCTCTAGAACTGAAGCACAAGAAACAGGCTACAGTGAAGCTGACACAAGATGGAGTCTGATGGTTAGCTGTTCACTGCTCACTCAGAGAGCTGCCCTCACCAGTGGTATTTGTGTATTCATTCATTGCTTTGTTAGTTTCTTGTTCACTCAGCAATATTCCAGCTATATGGAGGCAGTCTGGACCAGACAATCCAGTGATCGAGGTACACTACTGGGATACGATGACACATGTCAACCAAGTCAGCGAGCCTGACCACCAATCCTGTTTGTCGACTCTTAAAACAAGCTAGCACGCACGCACGCGCACACACACACACACAATGAACATGTGTCAATGGACACGCATTAACAAGCTACATGAATAAAAAAAATAAAATTTGAGATAAAATATCACTATACAAAATCTATTTGAATTCATATTACACCTGTTCTGCTAGGCACTGTTTTATATGCAGGAGTTAAGACTACAGTGTGTATTGTCTTGTAAGCCGAAAGTAGCAGCCAGCTGTGCTCACATTCCCCCCTCGTCAACCAGGCATTCCGTTAAAACATTGACCATAAATAACTTCAACAAATTTGATGCAATGATGGGAAAAATCATAAGTTAAAATCATATTTTTCAGGAATAACGTATTCAAATATTGTTAATTTAATTTAAATTTCAATAAAGATATAAGAAATTCCAACACTTAGAGAAATTCTAACACTGAATCCAGCAGTCCCATCTGTGCTGGAGGACACAGTTGACACCAGCTTACCTCCTGGTTGTTGCAGTAGGAAGTCACTTGACACTGCAGATCCTCTATTTCCTCGTCCTTGCTGCGTAGATGAGACCGGAGTAACTCCACCTTCTCCTTCAAATGTCCCAGTTCCGATTCCATCTCAATCATCTGTGTCTTCAAGGCTGTCTAACAAACACAAATACAAAGAGCTTCATTCAGCACTGAGAATGAGCATGCTTCCAGTTGGTTGTATCCCATAACCCCTACATGCCACTGCCCCTACAGCCCAGTACCCCTACAATTAGTTAAAACAACACACGGCATTTACCTGTCTGGCATAATGAACTGACCCAAAGAGAGATTAGTGCATAGAGTATACAGATGAGATCAAAGGAGGGATTAAACTGTTTTTTAGTGTTTTGTGCCATGGAAATTTGGGATTAGCTAAAAGTTGTTTTAGTTTCATGATGAAAGATAAACCTCTAGTGAGTAGAACAATTTTACAAATTGGATAATGTGTAGGTTGTTAAATGTTGAAATTAAGTTGTTTTAGTGCCATGATAAAAGATACACAGTATTATTGAGAAGTGGAGGGAAATGAGAAGGTGAGACGAGAAAGTAAATTGAGATAGTTCGGTATAGTATATAGCTGTTGACAACAAACTAACATGGCATCAACATGGCTGGTCTGCGTAATGTTGAGTTTGTTATGTCACGGAGAGGTAGCCCCCAAGTCCTATTTGACGGTTATCTTCACACTAAGAATGTCGAGAGACAGTCTTGTGTACACTGGAAGTGTGTTTAGTCAACATGCAGAGGAAGAGTCACAACTGTTGGCAATGTTGTAAGGAATACGACAGTACATAATCACCCACCAGAGGATAGTCAGAAGGTCCGGTTTGTCAGCAACCTGAGGAAGAGAGCCAGGGAGGAGTCAACACAGATGCGCACCATCTACAACGACGAGCTCACCAACCTGACCAATGATGAGACACGCACGATGCCATCCTTTTCCATCCATGTGCAGCGCCCTGTACCGCCACCACCAGAAGACGATTCCTGTTTTACCACAGACGAGATCAGAAGTCAACCTTCAAGATCCCTGGGCGATGATGACAAGATCCTGGCATTTGGCACCCAAGAGAGTATTCAGGCCTTGCAGTCAGCCGAGAACATCTACATGGATGGAACATTCACTGCCTGCCCTGCACTATGGAATCAAGTCTACATCATACATGCCAGACGTGGGACCACCACATATCCCCTCATCTTCACCTTACTTCCCGACCGCTAGGGCGACGACCTACTCCAGACTCTTCAGACTCCTCAAGGATGAAGTTCAGCGGAGACTCAACAGGCCGCTTGTCCCATCCTGTATCCAGACAGACTTCGAGTTAGCAGCAATCCATGCCTTAGAGACTAAATTTCCAACTGCTGTCGTGAAGGGTTGTTTTTTCCATTTCTGTCAAGCCATTTGGAGGAAGGTTCAGGATCTTGGACTGGCTGTTGCCTACAAAGAAAACCCCGAAGTCACCAAGTGGATCAGGAGAGCAGCTGGGCTACCTCTACTCCCTCAAGACACGGTCCAGGACACGTGGGTAGAAGTCATGGACGACACTCCAGACGTCCCAAGAGCAGTCGACTTCAACGATTACATCGTGACAACCTGGGTCGACGACACAGCCAGATTTCTACTTCCCCTGTGGAACCACAACCTGACAACTGGGCCGAGGACAAACAACAATCTAGAAGGTTTTCACAACCGACTGAACCGTGAAATTCCACACAGGCATCCGAACATATACAGATTTGTAGAAGTCATTAGGAGAATTGAACATGCTGAGAGGGTGAAGATTTCACAAATAGACTTTGGTGCTGCGACAAGCGACAAGAAGCAGAAGGCGAGTCTTCAGGGAGATTGACAATCGCCTGTGTAGACTCAAGGAGCAGCTTGAGCTTGGACAGAAATCACCTCTTCAGTTCTTGGACGCCGTCGGCTATCTGCTTAAGCTGGGATAGATTGAAACACTGAATGTTCATAGACTGAAACTCTTGACACAAATGACTATGTTAACATTGAATGTTAACAATTAATTGTTAATGTCCATCAAAGAATCATGATGACGAATTATTGTTAATTCTTATTAAAATCTTGATGATGACAAATGATGATCACTTTTCATTAAAATCATTCTCTCAACCTTTTAGTTGTGTGTTGTTATGTCTCTTAAGTGGATTAGTCCATTGTGTGGAATAGGTAACAGGCAGTGGATTAACAGTGCAACAGACCGTAAACTATGTTGTTATAAGCTGTAGGGGTAGTGGCATGTAGGGGTAATGAGGGGTTACCTTCCAGTTAAACCCCTTTATATATAATGATGTAATGTTTCGGAAAAAATTGATATTTTATACTTATCTTGACTCATGTCACTTAAGTGGAAACTTGAATCCCTTTCAGTTCCCTGAAGCGAACATACAATCACTCACCCTGGAGTTGCCTCCCTTGCCTTTCCCGCCAAAAGCACCCACATGACTGTGAGGCATGCAGTCCTCACTCTCTCCGTTTATCTGCCCACACTAAGGCTTGCAGGGAAACCTGTAGTGTTGAGAGGGGACGGTTGGGAGGGCTTCAAGTCATGAGTCAGGATAAGTAAAAAATATCAATTTTATCCGAAAAATTACATATTTCCTTATCCTGACTCATGCTATATTGACGGAAACAGGTGGTGGGTGAGCCACCTACAGGATTCTCTGTGACTGAATAATCATGTCATCGTTCGCTCGTACACCCCCTTGGAACTATTATTGCAGCTGGAACACGGCAAATTTGTCCTGATGATCATCAGGGTGCCACCTTCTTTTACATACGTAATAGAAGTAAATCATATAGAGTTCGTGGATTTAAGATAAACTAGAACACCTCGATGTCTAGGTATCTTGAATGATCCATATGTTAAGGTAAGGACTATTACCAAAACTGGTATCGCGAATGAATATGTTAAGGTAAGGACTATCACCGAAAACTGAGCCTATATCCCTCATGTGCTGACTTATCATGGACTCTCTGCCGGTGGCAATGGATCAGTTGCCTGGCGTCAACGAGTCTGCTTGACAAGGATGAGTATTCTCATCATCTGGCTGGAATCATGCTGCGCTAATACTAGTGGCCTGAAATGGTGTATACCGGATACGTCTTCAGTAGCGATATACCGTAAATAGTGGTTGGCGAACACAGTGTCCGACTTCCAAAAGCAGCCTTCCATGATGAATGATAAAGAGCAGTTCCCGTGTAGGGCGAGTGTCGAGGCCAGTGCTTTAACTTCATGTGGGTTCAATGGTTTGGGTGGCTCTAACCCTGCTGCTCGTCTGATCCAAAAGGAGATCATAGTTCAGGAGACCTCTACAGTCGTGGCGGGTGATAGCGGGATAAATAGGCACTTGAACTTTCACCTCGCAGTAATCCTGTCCAAGACCTTCAAGGCTCTGACCGGGCATAAGGACAGATTTTGTGCATCGTCTGTAACGTAGGACTGACGATCCGGTTGACCAGGCATTTGATTCTTAGCGATGTGATCCCATCTCAGGCCTAGATGGACTGCAGCACACTCTCCTGTGTCGAATCTTGTATGGCCGAAGTCAAGGGCATGGATTTCTGACATTCAAGCAGCAGCAGCTGAGGCGAGGAGAAGCAGCATCTTTTGAGTTAACAACTCAAATGTTGCCAGCATCAGCGGCTCATATACATCACTGATGAGAGGCTGCAACACTATGTTGACATCCCAAGCTGGAGCTCTAAACTTCTGCTGCTGATCTTCCAACTTGAACAATCTCAGCAGGGCGACGAATTCAGGTACCTTGGTCAGCTTAACCCCTGTATCCATGGTGATGACAGAGCTGATCGCCACTTGGTAGGTAGAAAGCGTAGAACCTTTCAGGTGTCTAGTAGCCCACAGATGACACAGGTAGTCATCTACTTGTAGGTGCGTCGCTTTCATGGCCAAGAACCCCTTGTGAGCAGATAACTGGTCGAAGGTCCCCCACTTGTCATCATACAGGTTACGAGTAGATTGATGCAAGGCCAGCGCACTGCCTTAGCTGCTCTGGCGGAGTACCCTCTTCTCTTCAAGCAGTGCGTAATATGTTCCACGTGTAGCTGGAATCCTGCTGGGTTGCCACGCCGCTGGTTGGTGTGAGGGTGGATCAGTAGATTCAGACAATCTGGTAGTCGTAGCGCTGGATCGCTGTGATGCCCTGAGGTCTGGGAATCAGGATCCTACCAGTTAAGCGCGACCAAAATCAGTTGCAGGATTTTGGTCTGGCTGACCTTGTGTAGCACTTGATGTAACAGGATCGGTGGTGGGAACGAGTACTCGTTCAGTCCCTCCCAGGATATGGCTAGGGCGTTAACAGCCCATGCTAGAGGATCTGGTACCAGTGAGACGAATGTTGCCACCTGATGGTTGAATCGTGTCGCAAACAGATCGATGAGGGGACGACCGTGCGCTACTGTTAACAACTGGAACGCCTCTGGATGCGGCATCCATTCTGTGGGTGATGGATGGACCGGTCTGGATAAGGCGTCTGCCCCTGGGATGTGGCAGGCTTTCATCCGCAGGTTGATGTCTTCTGCTATGTCGAACAGCTGGAACATCAGTTGAAGCAGGGGAGCTGATCTCGTGGAGCCTTGTAGGTTGATGTAGAAGCCTACTGTTGAGTAGTCCGTGTGGATCATAAGAACTTGATTCCTTAGTTTCAGCGCCCAATGTTGAACAGCCTCTATCACCGCCTTGAGTTCCATCTGATTGATGTGTAGAGCTTTCTCCGCCTGTGACCAAGTTCATGAGGCGACCTTGTCGTTGAAGTCTGCTCCCTAGCCCTGGAGAGATGGATCCACGAAGAGATGTAGATGTAGAAGAGATGTAGGCTGGCTCTCGTAAACAGGTTCCACCGCAGACATTCAACTTCTCTGTCCACCAGAGTAGGTGCGACTTCAGATGCTGCGGGATGGCGAATCTCTGGACATCATCTAGATGAGTTATCAGGAAGCGCTGTAGCGGTCGTAGCTGCAACCTTCCTCTGCGTGTGAGAGCCTGCGCCGAATTGAGTATGTCTAATGGAGTGTTGAGGGTGTCTGGTATGCTCGCCTGGATGCTCTGGTACTACAATGCAGTTCTTCGTGTTTAGGA